ATCAATTATAATTCAATACTACTTTCCAAAATAGTGGTAATTTTTTAAGTTGATCACAGGGATGTAATATAATATTGGGTAATTTTTCAGAGTTTTTCTCAAAGAATACAATTTTTTATGAATTTTATATTAAAAAATAAAAATGAAATATATTTAAAATTCACAAAAAAGGAAAATAAGGGTGCGGACGTCATAATGATGTCAGCACCCAACGAACACGAATCGGGCAAAAATAGAGTTATGCTCAATGATTCTTACGTAAGCAATTATAAATGATTTAATTGATGAAATTCAAATACGTAAAAGTCAAAAAAATCATAGTTGAATGACGTATAACTTGGCAAATTTAAATAACATAAATTATTATTAAATGAAATAAAAATTAAGTTGAAAGCAGAAAAACACAATTTCGATGTCGCGGCAGTGATACGTCAACAATGCACTAGAATCCTAAGTGTTCGAGAAGATCATCGTGTATTGTCCATGGCTTCAAAAGCTCTCCTTGGACAAAGACAACGTGGCCAATCTCTAGATCTCCTTACAAAATCTAGAGAGCAATGAAATGGGTCGTCAAATTGTCTCTAGTGGCTGTCACCCAGCGGAGCGAAAAAATAATGACTTTGTAGTTTTTTGGCAACTGTCACCTGATGAAGAGGAACTAGATGAAGGTGGGAAGCGTGTCAAAGAGCTTCATCCTCAGGTTCGTGCAGTAAGAGGAGGTTCTTCACACATTTGGTACGCTCTTATGAAGTGACAACTCGTCTCCTAGTAGATCGTCCTTATCTCGACGACGGCTTTTTCGTCGATCAATCGGAGATGATTTACTCGCTGGATCAATCGGAGATGATTTACTAGAAATCGTAGTAACAATGCTTCATGAATCACATTGACGAGATTTTCGTCGATGATCCAACGATTTTGGCGACTTTAATCATTTATCGACGATCTATAAGAAACTCGCGATAATTAAATAAAAATATGAGTTTTAACTCTAGGAGGATTCGAACCCACGCCGATTGCCCCCCTATATGAGAGAGATTGAAATAAATTATAACTAACGGGTAATTTAGTTATTAACATTTTCAAAAACATTATGGGGAAGGTGCAACTATTGATTTAGTCTCACATCACTTGTGCACGAAAGTTTTGGGCGAATATATAATGATATCACATTTGGAAGTAATGAGTCTTTTTTTCCTACATGTACAACCACTCCTTACCTCACAACTGACTAGCCATCGGTGACATAGAAGGGGAGTGGTGCACATGTGCCCCCATCAGTCCTAGCCACTCAAGTCCCTGCTTGTGGCTCCCCCCAACTACGCTTCTGACTGGCTTGTGGGCTCAATTGGCTAGCACCCCCTTTTGCTATATTTTAATTTTATTTTAATTTTCTTTATTTATCTCAAAAATAAAACTATAAAAATTATATAAATTTATAAAAAATCACAAAATTAGCCAAAAATTCATGTTAATCAACTGAAAACTACTTTTTATAATTTAATATAAATATAAGTCTATTTATCATGAGTTAAGGCTAAAAATATATTATTTACTAATTATTAACTCATGATAATGAAAACTTATCAGTCCTTTAGTTAAAGATAGTTCTATTAATGCTTTGGAGGTCTTATAGAAAATAATTATTTCACTAAGGGGACTCAAGTTTCATTGGATCTATAAATATTAATTACATATTTAAGAATTCTTATATATATATAATTTTTAATTCAAGTTTTTTTCTTCACATGGTATGTCTACCTATGAGAATCTACCTAAATATTATATTTGAAGTCCTTTCTTTCATATGTGTTTTTGTTTTTAGGAGTCAATATTTTTGTCTTATTAAAAATATTTTCTCTCAATCTTAGGAGTATACCTTAATCCTTCTTTTCTTGATTATAGTCATTAACTTCTATAACATATTCATATTTTTCTCACTTTCACATTGCTTCAAATAAGCTGAATTCAAAGTACAAAGTTTTACTTCTAACAAAGAGTGCTTGTTTTGTTAATCCTCACAATTTTTCCTAATTCCTCAAGTTGTTTCTTTAATTCTTCATTTTCTGTTCTCTACATTTTGGCTTTTCTTTTAGATTCTTCTAAATTTTTCTTTATCCTTCTATATTATGTTCTAAGAATCTTAAATGCACTAGTTAACTTTAGATAGTTAAATTTTCTTAATTCATCAAAAGAAAATATAATCTTATTTTTGGATAGTTCAGATTCAATTGATGATTTCACTTCATTTATTTTTGTCATAAGACATAAGTTTGCTTCTTCTTCACCCTAGCTAACTTCATCTCCGCTCCATTTCGCCATCATGGTTGTTTTCTTCCTTTTCAGCCTTAGGCAGTTAGTTTTTGAGGTGACCTGATTTATTGCATTCATAGACAATTTTCATAAGTTTATTTAATCTGGATGAAAATTTTGGTGAGTTTTTACATTTTTATCTCCTTCTAGTAAACATTTTCTTAAATAACTTAGAAAGGAGGACTATGGGATCTTCTTCATTAGAACTTTGATTCACCCAAAATACCTTTTGCTCTAAGATCAGTACTCTTCTTGTTCTTCTTCTTCCTTTTCTTTACATCTAGTTCATAAGTTAACAATAAACCCATCAATTTGTCTAATTTGGTATTTCTTAAATCCCTAGTCTTCTTAACAAGTTTCTCAAGTTACCATTCTACTATGAAAGACCAAATAATTATCCTATTTAATTCAAAATTTGTAAATGTTCTCCTATTTCCATTAGCATAGTTAATATCTTAGTAAAGCTATTACACAAATCTCAAATATATTTATTTTTCATCATTTAAATATTTCTAATTTATGAGTGATAAAATTAATTTTTGTGTTGATTTGCATTCTTTAGTAGTTTTAAAATTTTTAATCCTTAAAAAAACTCATTGATATCACCAACAAAATATAATATGTTCATGATTTTATCATTTAGAAGCCTGAAGTATTTTTTCGCATCCTTCTTAGATGGACCCTTTTCAATTACACTCCATGCATCTAAATCAATTGACTTAGTAAATACTCTTTTTTTTTCTAGTAAGAGTAACTTCATGTGGTTAGTCATAGATTGTCCCTCAGGAGCTAAATTCACCAAGGTCTCAGCTATTTGATATAAACTTTAAGAGTTTTGAATAATTCCTGCTAAGTTTTGCTTTGATACTATTCTTTGGTCCATGATGGCTAGATAAATCAGGATGGTTTAGTTGATCAATAATTTTCTAGGAACCAACAATTGGCATGAAAGTGCAACTTAGTTGGAATTATTCAAAACTGTATATCAAATGGTTGGGAGCTCAATGAATTTAAAGTGATTTTTGTTTGCAAGGCCTACATCTATGTCCCAAGTCAATCAAATTTTAGTTTCCACTAACTACACCTATGATTATAGTTCACTTATGGACTTAGCTCCCCCTTATACCATACTCCTCAAGTCTATCTATACTAGAAGTTACAATTCTGGTACCCTTCATCTATATGTGAGCACATCACATGCCTCACTCTATGTTCAGCACATCACATATATTTCAGAAAGACTTGAGGTTACCACAAGTATGTGACTTGACACAAGCAGATATTAGCTCACCACAAGTGCTCAAATGCAATGAATAAAAATAATATTTGATAACAGAGCATGATGCACAATACCAATTGATATGAGTTCAATTTCATTCCTTTGTTTACTTATGCTTGAGTAAAGAAGAGTTTTCAGAGTAGCCTTCACTCAAGGATGACAAAGCTTGATGGGATTGAAATGTGAGTAGGTGGAATATTGAGCGGTGCATGAGTTGATAACTTATTCTCTTTGCTTTTTGACCTTCTTTTCATCTTCTAATATTTTAGCAAATGTGGTCTAGAATGGAACAAGATGGTTGTTTATAACCTTGGGCTTCTTGGGTCAAAATGGTCATCTAACGGTCTTAAATCTGTTGCATTCAGCTTCTATATTTTGAATTTTAGAAACACATATTAATATTATAAATCAATATCAATTAAATGCTTCTATAATTTCATGTGAGGTTTGTTGACTTTGACTCTCCATTCAAAGAGTTTTCTCTTGATTACTCTTATACCTATATTGGTGAAGTCATTTAATACTGAAAATCTAAATATTAAAGCTTATCTATCGAATGATGATAGATTTACCTTGTACAAAAAATTTATCGTATTGATACCCCACACACATTAATGTTTCTACCCTTGATAATAATTTAATTGCTTAAAGATATTTCTTATTATTAAGATAATCAGTTTGATTCCTTCTATAATATTTGAAGTTACTACAATGTCCTTCAATACATGTAGCTATTATATAAATTTCATTCTCTAGTCAAATTCTAGTCCAATATCATCAATTTCATGATTTCAAGTAATCTCTAAAAATCATAAAAATAATAGAGTTAACCTGTAACTTAACATCTCTCTCTCTCTCTCTCTCTCTCGTTCGCTCACTCGCTTATATGTGTATATATATATATATACTTATATATTTCTAGACCCAAGTGCCTCAAGAGGAATCGAATGTAGCAAGTTAAAAACAGCCAATTTTGGCAGCCCCACACATAAAGTTTACCAGGTATGGACAAGTGTGAGGTGCCCTTCTACTGAATGAGTATTTGGACGGCAGCATCACAACTGAGTTTCTGTTTGGTAAGCTGTCAGCGGGGGGCGATGGGTATCTCTACATGAACTCGTAGGTTTTTATTTTGTTACACGGGTTAAATACGAGTTCGCTTCCATCTCGTTCCGCTCACAAAAGGAGGGAATTTTTCTTGTTTCATTGGTGACTCGTGATTTTGAAATCCGAAGAAAGAAATGCTCTCACAGATGAGAAGGACCGGGGAAGGGGGGGGGGGGGATCTTTGCATGGGAAATGCCACAGTAATTCTGAAACTAGTTGACATCTGCAATAATTTACAACAGGCAGCGGCTCATGTTCATGTTCTTCGGGACGACAGGAATGGGGCCAGCGGCGGCGGGATTTAAGAGCCGGGGGCGAACTTGGTGGCGTAGACCCAGGCATTGTTGGCAACGGGGTTGTCTAGGTGGTCGAGGAGGTTCTCCAGAGGTCCCTTTCCGGTGACGATGGCCTGGACGAAGAAACCGAACATGGAGAACATGGCGAGGCGGCCGTTCTTGATCTCCTTGACCTTGAGCTCAGCGAAGGTGACGGGGTCGTCGGCAAGGCCCAGGGGGTCGAAGTACTGCCCGCCGGGGTAGAGGTTGTTGCCCTCGCCGACGCCGGGGAGGCCGTTGATGCGGAAGCCCTCGACGAGGCCCATGAGCAGGACCTGGAAACCCAGCACGGCGAGGATGCTCTGGGCATGCACCAGGTTAGGGTTCCCCAGGTAGTCCAGCCCACCCTCAGAGAAGATCTGCGCCCCCGCCTTGAACCACACCGGCTCCTTAAAGTCTACCTTCAACCACTTCTCCAGCACCTCCGGCGTGATGCATCCCAGCGCCCCCAGCATCGCCCACCTCCCGTGGATCACCTGCAACCCACCCAGCCGGCGATCTCAGTCACACATCTCTCTCTCTCTCTCTCTCTCAGAGGAGAAAAAGGAGGAAGCAGACGAGGGTTCGCTCACCTCGAGAGCCCTGTTGCGGGCGAAGGCCTCGGGGTCGGCAGAGAGGCCGGCGGTGTCCCAGCCGTAGTCGCCGGGGAACTCTCCGGTGAGGTAGGACGGCGTCTGGGCGGAGAAGGGTCCGAGGTACTTCACCCGGTCAGGCCCGTACCACAGGTCATTGCTCTGCACACACACCCATCGAACCAGTTTTCAGTCAGCGAAAACCCAGCAGCAGCTCAAGAAGAGAAGAGGGAGGGCAATGCAATACAATCTCATGAATTGACGGCGTCCTGATTCATTTACTCACTCACCATGGTGTACTTGCCGTTCCCCATTGCGACGGCCTCCCTGAGAGGGCTCGCGGCGGAGCCCCTCGTCTGGCCGAGGAACCGGCTCTTGAGGACCGCCGCGGAGGCTGCTGTCACCGTCGCCGCCATTTCCTCCTCTCCGTCGGCCGAGTCGCTCTCCCTCCTCCCCTCCGCGAGCAAGTAGATAATCTCTCTTCCGTGCCTCTGCGAGAATAGGAGCGAGAGAGTCTGTAATGTAGATGCAGGCCAGCCGAGAGGCGGGGAGAGCTCGCGGGATGCCAAGGATTGCCCCCTGAGCCCTCCACCAATAAGAAGCCCGGAAAGGATTCTGAAGCGCGCCACCTCACGCTGCCCTTATCCCTGTCCTATCCTCTCAACCCAGCCCTCTCTCCCTCCCTCCCTCATTCCCTGAGATTCACCTCCCCTCCCTCTAGAGGCTTCCACAGCCACATATTTCTCAGGAGGAGGTGGTCTAAGGTCGGTGGGCGTTGACTCGATTCCCCGCCGTCATTCAGCGTTCGCAATGGGGAAAGTGAAAGGAAAAGGAGGACGATTGGGGGTTGTGGGTCTCTTTTATGGAAATTCTTGGAACGGGTATCATTTTTTCCCAATTTATATCTTTTTAATCTAAACTTGGGTCAATTTGTTGACTTTCTCACCATCCGACCGTCGTCTCGTAACTCTATGCAACCCCAAGGATTCACGGTCGTCCGCGTGTCACCGTTTCTGGCCACAGGAGCCAGATTATCCCACCTCCATGCCGACGCCCCATTTGGGCCGGAAAACGCGGGGAGTAGACGAAAGCCTCCCCCCCGGTCCACTTTCAGGCTCTCCACGGTGGCCCACTTCCTCCTAAGAATAGGCCGGAGGACCGCCCATTATCCCCAAATTATGGGCCCAGATGGCCGGCCCGTCGGCGATCTCGGCCTGAGCCGCTGACCAGTGGTCCCCTACTATTTCGTCTTCCCCAATTGGAAGGTATTAAGAAAAACAGCAGCTCCACAGAATTCCATGGCCACAAGATCTTCCGAAGCTCTGTGAAAGAGGTCTTCTGTAGCTTTCTCCCGGCCGTACACACATAAACATATCTCTCAAGCAATAGCTTAAAGGAATCATTTTAGAAAGATCTTATAGGACAAACATAGCTCAACATGCCAGCAACCGGCCCTATCCGAATCCGACCGACCCGTCCAGAACCACTAGAACCGACCAGAACCGAAACCCGACAAGCCTTGATGGGTGGTTCAAAAGCATCCGAAAATCACTAGGACTGGATTGTGTTGACCAACAGCTAATCTTCATTCATTATTTTTCTCACCTTGATGGGTATGCTTAGAACTAAATATAGAACCATGTCAGATTATGCACGTCAAAAGGATCTTATAGAATTCACATTAACCACTCCATTCGTTGGAATGCCTTTTGAGTTGTTTTCTGCATTGTGTTCTTGTTTAAAATCACTTTTCCACAGGTATATATGCCTGTGCTTTTTTCGTCTCAGCAGCTAGTTAGGCATTTGTTCTACATTTAGCATGTCAAGAATAAATGACATTATATATAGATATATACCTTTGTGCAACATAACATGCTATGAGAACAGTGTGGATAGCAATTTATGTGTTATGAATAGAGTATTTTACTAACCCAACCATCTGAAAATAGATGAGTATTTTCGTATCTTAAAATTATGTGAGCATAGTTATCGTACCATATTTGTTCAAACAATGTGGCATTTCGTTGAACATAAGATATTAACATAGATAACAAAGCAGACGAACTTAGGTTTCGCAACATCCAAATGCATGTATGATACTTAACGGATGTTGATATCATGGTACGTTACTAAATGGAGTGGAGTATCTTAATTTAAACATCGTCTTACGTCAAGTGAATAAAAATGTATGTGCAACATAGATATATGTATGTATGGACGTGCGTACGGGTGTATGTATGTACGTACCTCGGAAGTAAGGTGCGGTTAACGTCACAGAGGAGGAGCTCAGGGTACTTGTTGATGACTCGCAGAAGATGGGCACTCGATATGCTGAGCCCTGTGAGGAAACTGAGCTTCTTCGTCAGAGTTTTCTCCACGTCCGACCAGACCCAACCTGAACTGAAACCCGATCTCACCCGCCCTGAACCGAAACGAACCTAAACCCGATCATACCCGACCAAACGAAACCGCGAGTCAACCCGAACTAAACCGAACCGAAATTGATCTGAAAACCGACCACTCCACCCGAACCGATACCGACCGTACCCCACCCGGTCGGCGGCGAAGCCCTCGTCCTCCTGCATACGCCGGAACAGCAGTAGCGCCGCCTCCGGCTCCTCCGACTGCTCACAGGCCGTGATCATGGCCGTCCAGCTGACCAGGTCTCTAATCGACATTCCTTCGAACACGTTGCTCCCGTCGGCGATCTCCCCGCACTTGCCATACATGTCGAGCAGACCCGCCGCCGCCGCGTATGCATTCGCGGCGAACCCGGTCTTTAGCATCTCCCCGTGGACGAACCTGCCTGTGGCGACGGCGGCCGTGGAGGCGCAGGCCTAAATAAATATTTTTTTGAGGATTTTTCTAAAGTTTCGAATTTGCGTAGGGCCCAACATATATTTCTGGTAGAATCCGAAATAAATATTTTTTTGAGCCCTTTCTAAAAGTTGTGATTTTTTTGGGCCCCACCGTACTATCTGGTAGAATCAGAAAGAAATATTTTTTGAGCATTTTTTTAGAGTTTTGATTTTTTTTTGGGGCCCTAGATAAATTTCTGGTATTATCCGAAATAATTTTTTTTGAGCCTTTTGTTAAAGTTGGGCCCAACATAAATTTCTGGTAGAATCTAAAATAAATATTTCTTGAGCTTTTTTCTAAAGTTTTGATTTTGTTTGGGGCCATCATAAATTTCAGCTAGAATCCGGAATAAATAAGATCGGTCGAAGGATCTCACCAGTTATCTCTGTCCGATAGGCAGCTAGAGTCTCGTGTATTACTTCTTTACCCTGTGCCTTGGTATAAGAGTCTTCAGTCCAAAGTCTGGTCCGTTTGTTGCCTGTCTCTTTCTCCCTCGCGAGAGAGCAACGGGAGAGCTACAGTGTCCTATCGTTATCGTCATCTGTAGTCAGCTAGAATTTTACCTTGGGAGAGAGAATATTATTTTTCCTAGAGTCACTGTTACGGTGTTTGTCACTGGAAAGGGCGGAGGGCCATATCACCTCCGGCCCATCGAGAACGTGCAGGATATCGGCAGACCGGCTTTGTGTGGCTCCGCCGGAAGAAGGCCCTCAACTACACCTGCCTTGTCTCCTGCGGCGCCGAGGTCACAGGCTTCGTGGAGGACCGCCGCACGCGGCGGGTGACGGGGGTGAAGAGTCCAGTGAGATGCTCATCTGGATCCCGCGGGGAGAGAGTTCTTCGCGGATCCCAAGGAGCCCACCAAGATCATTTCAGGACGCCCGCGGGACTCTCGAAGACCTACCGGGCCTCGGGCTTGGAGCTGGAGGAGCAGGGAAACCAGCGATTAATCGTGTCGTACATACACGGATTCGATCGCTGTACATGTTCTAAATTGAAGAATTTGTACCCTCAAGCAGCAGGATGGGGAATTTGTACCATTCTTCTGGTTTTCCCCCGTTGTGTTTGTTCCCAATTCTTGAGAATCTCGCCCATTGTTGTATGGTGTCCTCATGCGGTACGTTTCAGGTCGAAGAGTATTTCTCTGAATGCGCTTTCCCTTGGTCTTGTCTCTTGTGTTCCCAGTGCCTTTACGGTCTTGATATCCCTTGATATCCCTTGATATCCCTTGATATCCCTTGATATCCCTTGATATCCCTTGATATCACTTGATATCCTTGATATCCCTTGATATCCCTTGATATCCCTTGATATCCCTTGATATCCTTGATATCCCTTGATATCCCTTGATATCCCTTGATATCCCTTGATATCCCTTGATATCCCTTGATATCCCTTGATATCCCTTGATATCCCTTGATATCCCTTGATATCCCTTGATATCCCTTGATATCCCTTGATATCCCTCTTCCTTTGGGTCTCTTTGTGGTCAGTAATAACAAAATGGAACCGCAGGGCCAGCTTTAGAACTGAGTATTCTTTCCCCTCTCGCAAGAAATCTTATACATTAACACCCACAAAATCATAACAATTCTAGGATACGTGGTAAGAGGTGACGCTATATGCTTATGAATTTATCAGGATATATACATAAAAATATTCTATCTATTGTATGCATGACTAATATAGAGCATAATTGGAACCCAGAATCACTGAATTAAAAATATGAGTGTGTATTGTCTGTCAATGAGGCATATATCTGTCCAAAGCAGCAGGAGTACACTTTTTCCAATCACAAACACATTGATTGAAACCCAACCGAATTATATATTTGTAAAATATCACTTGGCCAAACCAATGGTTAACATTTCACTTGGCCCGGTGTCAACTAAATGATGATTCAATTTACAGCCTTTTTATTTTCTAGTTAAGACTTGTTATCCACTCATCTCTTTTCCATGATAATTGATGTAGCCCAAGACATTGAAGCCTCAATTTTGAATTTAGTCTCAATTACTTAAATTTAGATCATAAAGTGAAGAGTGATGAAAAAGGACCCACATATGTCACTAGTGGTCTAGAGATCTAAAAAGTAACTTTTTTAGTTATTAATTTATGTCCTTTCACTTTTAGAGGGTGCTTTATGTCATTTTTCTTCTAGAATTGATTTTAAATACTATTCAGAGTCTATATCCAAGATCTATTTAATATTTTTACCTATTAAAATCTCTTCAGTATCTTTACATGTTGAAGTATGTGTCAAGTAAGTTCAGAGTATGTTTAGATGATCAATTCAAGATCTTAGTCTATCAAAGTATATTTCGAGTCATTCCAAAATTAGTCAGACTCTATCCCCATGATTTATTTAAGATCCTTTTTTTGGGAGTGCCCCATCTCCTTTCTAAACCTATATAAAGGCCCACATTATAACTTAAAGGAGACACCTTTTGAGTTGAATCATTTTTTTCTATTATGAGAACCTTCTCCATTTGCTTGTAGATTTGAACACCTCCTTATAAATTCAAGAGTTGAAGACTCTGAATTTGTGGATTCAGAGATTAATTTCTTCTTTAAGATTAAAGTTTTATAAATTTAAACCTTATATCTTGTTTATCTTTCACTTTACTACTAGGTCAATAATATATGCTATATTTACATGCGTCCATCTCTAATGCATTCAAGATACAAATGGGGAAAAATCGACGACTTTTTTCTTCAAAATCCACTTGCTCTTTGAACCAAAGAAATTTCCTTGCTGCCTGTCACGATCGTGATCTATCTATCAAAATCAAGATGCGAACACTGTTGTATAACCACCGTTTCCTGAAATTTGTGTACGCAAGACAAAGTATCTGCTGCTCTACTCTCAGAAAATCCTCAAGCAACATGCAGACGAGCATACATCCAGAAAATGTCATGGAAGATGAGCATCACGGCAGAAAAGTACATCCGTCTTGGCCATTTTACCATATATTTAAAATAAAATCCCAAGAAACAAGCCTAAAACTGTGCTCAAAACCCAGAATGATGTTCCCGTAAATCTCTTCAAATCCCGTATTTCATCTTATACGATGTTCCTCATGATCCTTCACACAGAACCGTCACATTCTCCGTTGGGAAATCATCAGGAGCATTCTCAGCCATGCGAGACTTTCTTATGCAAATACCAACCACAAGGCCAACATGAGGAAATAAATAAATTGGGTCTGCCTGAATTATATTAAAAAATAAAAGATGGTCGCATTTCAGGGATTATTGAGTGCCCTTCATGATCCTGCTCAACTTCATGATCCTGTCCCACGACCATAGGAATTACACCGGGAAGCTGAAAGAATATGAAAGGGGTGGCGTAATCTTAGGTGCCTGACTCGCTACAAAACATGATTTCGCTCATCTACTCGGGGCCAGAGAGATCACACACAAGGATCTTCAATGACAATATGAGGCCATTTTATATCATCATAGTCAAAATAAAACCAAAAAAATAAAACAAAACTGTGCAGGATCATATTTTTCAAGCCAAGCTGTCTTATTACTCACCCAGATTTCAGAAAGCAGCATAGCTTGTAGATCACCTTCCATCCTTGCTCGAAGGGAGACATGGGTCAGGTTTGAAAAGGGAGACATGCATCCATGGACTCACATTCATGGCAGAAAAAATAAGATGCTTGAGAGCGCGGAATCTGTATAAATATGTGTAAGTACATGCCTGAATTAAAGAACCCCCAACTCAAATCATTCTTGGTGGCGAAGAAACTATTAGGAAAATGACCAGGAGAAATTCAATATCTCCCCCAACTCAAATTCATGACAAGAGCCGCCCAATGGAAACAATCACGAAGGCATCAAAGGGGAAATCGGTGATTTCCAGTCTGTTTTCCGAAATCGGAGTGAATGCTCAACGAAACAATTCTCATTCCGAAATCCATAATTTTTTATGGCAAAGGTCGCCAAGTCCTGTCCAAATACGTCAATCTTAATCTCCATTAACTCAATACGCAGATCGTTGGCGAAGAAGAATCCACAGAAACGATGTCCTGAAAAAGCCTGATCTGCATATGTACAGCAGAACAAATAAGGACAAATGACGATGGTCAACAGAGCAATCAGGTGTACAGGCACTCAATGAGGAGACCAGTGAGTGCTAGGGGAATCCAGGCGTCTCGAAGAGCCAACGGAAGGTTTGACACATCTGCACAGGGTGACATAGATAAAGATGACACTTTTCAAACCACGACATCTGCAGAATGGAAGACGGATCATCAGCCTTGTGTAGGAAATGTCAAGAGCCGGCGTTGGGAAGAGCAGCCATGAATGCAGTGTACGAAGACTCGAGGTCGAAGTGGAGTTGACGGGACTGCTGCTCAGTCAGCTCGTCGGCCGCCCCCATCTTCGACAGCCGTAAGATCCAATCCTTGACCTTAATCCTTCCTTCGAAGTCCGGAGGCACGATCCCCCCACCCAACTTCGCCAGGGATCCCGACAGATCTGAGAGCAGGGGATACACCTGATCGACCGCCACCATGTTCAGCTTCAGAGAGTCCATGGCGGTGATGAAGTGCTGGACGCACTCGGCGACCACCGCGGCGGAGGACCCCGACGACGAAGAAGTCATGGAAGCCGTCCGGTGTTCGACGGTGGCGGGGACGCCGGAGACGATGAGCCGGTTCAGCGCGGCTGGGCAGTCCATCTTATAGGTTTCGGCGAAGCGCTCGACGGAGGGGACGACGTCCCGGAGGAAGGTGGAGAGGTTCTTGAACTGGGCGATCAGCTTGAGGCACTCGGTCTCGTAGTCCGCGGAGGAGACGAGGTCGCGGACGTAGGCTTTCTCCAGCTTCTCAGTCGTCTTGATGATGGCGTACAGCTCCGCGAAGTTCTCGTACATGTCCCGCTCCCTCTTGTCGTTCCACAGCTTGACCTCCATGGCGGCGCCGCCCTACCACCCCACTCGCCCCCTTTCCGCAAGGACCAGGATTGGAGCCGCGAAGATCGATCGCCCCCGCCGCGCGCAGACAGAAAGCTAGGGCCTGAGTTGCTGGTCGCCCGACGGGACGGATCTCCCTTCGAGGGCAAGCGACAGGGAGGTGGGGAAAGAGAAGATGCGCGGAAGGGGGGAGGAAAGCTAGACGGTTGACCGTACGAGTCCGCCAAAGCTTCCAAGAGGAACAGGTGCCGGAGATGATGGGCCGGAGGCGGCAATCGATCTCACTAGGCCCATGCAGAAGGCCCACCCGGAGCGCACAAAAGCCGGCTGGGAGGTCGAGTTTTGGGAACTGTGGGCTTCGCCAGGACGGAGGGGGCTGAGTTCGGGTGCTGCAGTAAAAAAGACGAACTTTTCCCTAATGAGTCCCCAGGTTCTAGAGGCTCCACATCCTCTACATGAAGAAAGTGGTTCCTTTCGTGTGGTTGGCGGCGAATCGGGTGCGCCCGGGACAGCGGTTCACAAATCGGCATAAGCTGTACAACAAATCCCGTGTGGTTGTCGGTTGGTTGTTGGCGGGGACGCGGGGAGGGGAGGAAGAGGGAGGAAGAGGGAGAGAGAGGGAGAGAGAGGGAGAGAGATATGACCTGAATCCAGCTCCGTTAAGCGCTTTGAATGGAGAAACGAGAGCAGATGACTCTACAAATGAGGAAGAATACACTCAAGGGGAAGTGAATAAAAAGGCCCTCCCAACTAGGCAGTGAGTAGCCTCTTCAAGGAAATATAAAGGGCCCCTTTTCAGAAAGTAGGAAAAATTGCGATGTGTACAGGCCAATTAGAACGGAAAGGAAGTTTCCAAGCAATCACAGAAGCACCAACAGCAGTAGTAGAAGAAGAAGACGAAGAAGACGAAGAAGACGAAGAAGAGAGGAGTGGAAAACTAAATGTCGGCTTTGGGAGCCCCATAACTTTTTGTGATGAAAAATTTAATAGAAGAATAATATGACACCCTTAGAATCTCAAAATCAATATGTGAAGAATATACTAAACTGAGAAAAATGTGCTCAAGGATTAATGGATTCTTTTACATCTCAAAATAGTCGAATAGCTTTTAGTTACAAATTTTTATCACAAGTTCAATTGTGTGTAATTGTTGGAAGGATATGTCGAAGAGGAATGCTGTGTAACATACCATTGCAATAAATTTGAAGATTTCAATTTTTTATAAATTTTACAATATAAAAAAACATTTTATGAAGCTTAAATTTAGGTGCTAATGTGACAGCAGATGGTCCCATTTTCTGTCATTATAAACGACTGTTGGATGGGCCAAGACACAAACCGATTAGCAGAGTTTATCCCACTTCAAATAAAGATATTAGAGAACCACGACATCCACATACTCTATCCAAAGTAAAGAATATCAGTTGCTACAAGAACATTTAAAATCTTCCTCTCACAACATTTAAGAGTTTTAGTTTGAAATTGTATATAACTAGTATTTGGGCCTCCTACAACCATGAATCTAGACAGTGTTTCTACCAAATACTTGAGAGGATTGGAGTTGTGAAATCTAATAGTCTATCTGAAACCTTTGTATTCAGAAAAGGTTATGTGAAACCTTATGTTTAGTGAAGTCATGCTGATGCCTTTATGTCCACTGGCTGTTAATTGAAGGTTTATATTTAGTGAAGTCATGTTGATGCCTTTATGTTCAGTGTCTGTTAGTTGAGGCATTTCTATTCAGTGTAATTAATTAAAGATTAAATATAACTTGAGCACATGATTTATGGAGAGTTAAGTGGGATAGGTGAGCCCAACCATCATAATCTAAGGGGTTGATTAGATCCAAGTAGAAATCTAAGAACAAATGAAGAACACTAATTCAACACCTATTGGTTCCTTGTGGTGTTTCATGGCAACAACCACCAAAGTCAGACAGGATTATATTACAAAATAACTCTCATGCTAATTATATGTGAATAAAGCTATCATATAAAGTTGGGCGTACCCTACTCTTTAACAATTTGTTTTAAATTAGATTGCTCAACAAAGACATTATATTTGATGGTGGTATTAGGTTGCATACATCTCATTTATATTCTCCACTTGAGAAAGTATGATTGGTAGGTAGGGACGTGTCAAGAGAAGTGAACCAGTGTTGAATTTAAAAGCTATCATTACACATGCGATTGATTACTTGATCATCAAAATCTGATTTTTAGTCAGATGATCTAATAACTCTGACACATAGAAGATAAACGCAAGTATAGATCAATATTCAAGCCTTTGATTGGCGAGAGAGTAGATGCGCTATATGGAAATGCTCCGTTCCCACTCAAGTAGTAATATGGCATGAGGGAAGGTAGGTTGGTGTTCATGATCTTCATGAAGGGTGAAATAAGGTCATCTATTTTTTAAAGCATTCACGACCCTCCTAGCCCATTGAGAACATTATTGAGAACAAATATAAGGTTCGAGTAAGAACAGAAAATGGTATCTTTTGAAATAATAAAAAGATATGATATCCACCAAATTGTGTAAGAGGCATGTAAGGTTTTAATCATAGTCAACTATTTTAATGAGCGGGTGTGGCGAGATATTTTTCTTAGTTGTTATCACAGTTATTCAGTTACATTCAAAATCACATTTATGATTCTGGTGACATTTTCTTTGAGATATTTCGGAATTATGACTCTCTACGCACCAATAAGAAAAAAAATTAAGATATCGATTCCCGTCTCTTTTGCTTTATCTTCCTACCTCTCTCTCTGTCTCACTCCATGTATATATATATATATATATATATGGATAGGTAGATAGATAGAGAGATAGAGGTCGAGAGAGAGAGAGAGAGAGAGACGGAGGAAGCAAAACTCGGACGCCGAAAAGTTAGGTTGAAAACCAAAACTCTTTCGGCACGGCCGGCGGCTAGTGGAGTCATTAAATATGAGCCATGACGCCCCTAGAGTTTCTTTCGTATGCACCTCCTCCGCGTCCAGGTTCATCGAAGCCTTCTGAGCAAGGGAACCACTACCTCCTCTGATTCTTTTCCCTCCTCCCCACTGATAGCTCCCCAGCGACTCGCGCACCCCGCTTTGTTCCTCCCTTCTACGACTTAGCCCACTGTTCGTTTCACATGCCGATGTCTCGGCCGAGCCCAGAAACCACCCCCCCCCCCCCGCCGACAGTGCAATTAATGGACCACCACCACGATGAATCAGCCAGGTGCAACTCCCCCTCGGAGTTTCATTCCCTCCGGCGAGACGGTTGTTGGTTGATTGGTCGCCAGGTTCCAGCTGCTGCCTACAGATTCATCGATTCATTCATTGAGGATGACAGATTCTTCGCGTAAGTGGTGAGATGCCCTCTGCGGATCCTTCGAGGGCTCTCCCCAACTCCCACCAACCTTACACACGCTCCACTTTATACATTCAATTAACTGCGTCCCATTAAACGCGTAAATATTAATGCCTGGGTAAACCCATAGATCCCGTCCTGCCTGCGGCTTTCAGAGTTTGGTCACACGAAAGACCGAAAGGTTTGGCCCACCCGCCGGTTTCTATCGGACGAATTTCCGGCTTTTCCAATTCCCGGCCCGAAAGTTAAAAAAGTTTCGTTCTCTTGTAGAACACATGCCTGACAGTCTGTCTGACTCTCTCTCTCTCTCTCTCTCACACACACACACACACACTCGCACACACACGCACAGACATCCACGCACCCCCACCCAGTCGACATAAAAATAAATTTATCCCCTCTTATTTATCTATCTAGGAATATATATACATATATCTGAGCTTCTTAGCTTTAGATAGGAAGCCTGTTTCCTGGGTTTCTCCGGAAACTCGCGGGCACAAGATGACATCCCATGATGGGCGTCCTTGAATTGGGACGGCCATGATACCGGCCAGCATTTAACTCTGAATCGACCGCTGGCAAGAAGTGTCAGAGTAATGAGGCCCGCTGGAGACTGACCGACTGAATGGTCAACCATACGTGGCAGAGCGTCAATACTCTATTCCCCTCCTCGTAGATTACAATACTAGAACTTTTATAGGTTCCCATCGACCGTTTAGTCAGTTCCATGTTCACGTTGACTTGGTTCATTGTAAATGAAAGTCACCTTTATTATAAAAGAAAAGCTGTAACAGAGCTACCTCCATTGACTTTTAGATTCATACCCACGTATGTCATGTGTGTAATTAACTGAAATTTGTAAAGATAGAAAAAAAATCTGTGAGGAAATCAAGACGAGTTCAAGCCGAAGAGATCGTACAGTTGATGGCACATGGCTACGTTGGACTGATTCCCATCGATCCTTCTCTAGAAGCGACCATCATTATTAGCCGTAGATGACAGCAAGCTTGGACTGTATGGCTTTGATACGGCAACAGGTGCATGCTTACCATTTCCCTTTCATATGAAATGGGATCCTTGAAACTTTGCCAGTCCAACAATAGATATATCTACACATCTAAACGTACGTGTGAGTGGATCATGCGTGCATGGAAGACACTCAAACTTAAATTTACATAAACGTGAATGCACAACTGGATCATCCGTGCATGATGACTGGGATCTCGGCTTTTACAAATCAATCGGCCTAGGGTTCTGATGGAGAGTTCATTGATCCGGGAGTTATTAGTAGGAATCGGTATTATCATTCAACCTTAAAAAATGGTTGAGAGGGAGTAAATACATCGGAGCGAAGGCACGGAGCAACTCCGCATGACATAAATCCGGGGGGGCGCCCGGGGTGGTTTTAATGCCTCCAACGGGCATAACTCTGGATATTTCTAGAAAAAGGATCTCTTGTTTTTCATTCCCATTTCCATAAGAATAAATACTATGATTCGCATTTCGAACAGGCATAAATACTGCATCTATAGGATAACTTCCTTCTTGGGAGTCATTTGTGGGTCTCATGCGATATCCGCGATCTCTTTGGATTTGTAATCCAATACACAAATCGAGAATGCGGCAAGTACAATGAGCAACGTGTTTCCTTCAATTGTGAAGTTAAACATTTGTGATTTCGTATGATCGGCTGTCAGAAGATACAAGTAAATGTCGTATTGGCCGAGGGAGGCGCGTACGGCGAAGAGGAAAAAGAAGAGATGCGGGAAGAACACGCAAAGGGACGGAAGAGGTTATTCTCCCCTTCCTTGCGCCCTGTGGGTGATGATCTATCGACGAGTCGACGCCGAGTGTGTGCGGTCCTTACCGCCGGCAGCCCAAGCGCTGGTAGGATTTTAGAATGACCCCGCAGAAGTTGCAGACGATGCCCCGTTATTCTCCCCCTGCGCGAGGTGGGTGACGATCAACGAGTCGACACCGAGTTTGCGCTGTCTTTACCGTCGACGGCCCAAGTGCTGGTAGGATTTGAGGACGGCGCCGCAGAAGGTGCAGACGATGGCCCGCCAGGCGCGGCGGTGCACCGGCACGTAGCAGACGCGGGTGGCCGTCTCCATGTCCGCCACTCTGGCGCCGCCGCCGCATCGGGAGCACATCCCCGCCACGGGCTTCGTGCTCCTCATCGTCCTCCTCTGGTCTACCAGGAAGCAGAAGAAAACCATTTTCCTCAGAGGGAGATAGAATAGAGAGATAGAGAGGTGGAGAGTGTGGCGCCGAGGGGTTCGCAGAGAGGGAGATAGAGAGAGCTGTAGGAAGGGAGGAGAGCTGAAAGAGAGGAAGGAGGGTTGAGAAAAAAGTCGCCACTGATGGGGTTTTTAAAGGGCCGAAACGACGATTTAATAGGGGGGTTGGCTTGAGGGAGAAAGTGAGATCGAGGATGAGGGAAGCAGCACACAGAGAGGCCCGCCGAAGGATCGAGAGGGCGTTGGCTTGGGAACGCAAAGGCCGACCAGGTGGTTTTAATAGGGGACAGGTGGAGTAGCTACGGGTCATTCCAGCCCGAGGTTTCGAAGAGACGCATCCTGACCGTCCAATCAACACTCAATGGTTCGATCGTAAGTAGCCACTTGCCTTTCCGTGGGCCAGCTGGCCCCTTCGGATAACAGCGCTTTCCGAGGGTCACGTCGGTAAGCTCTTTCCTACGGCGCTGCTAAGACAGAGGGCAGCATCGTACAATATAACATATGAAAAGAGCATTAAAAATTAATGTCGAATTAAACACATCAAAGGCGGACAGTGGAGGAAAATATCGTTCATCTAGGGCAATCATATTGTATGAAATGGACGTCGTACACATTACTGCGCCGTGAGTTGGCCTCACCGACTGAATCTAGACTGCAATCCCATGTGACCCAAAGTCAGCGGGCCGTCTATTGAATGGGTCGGTCAGTCCCTTGCCCCCTGGCTCACCATTGGTGCACACTTGAGATATGTAATAGCCTGGCTGTAGTTTAGATAGAAGAGATGGAGACAGAAGAGGTGATTACGGGAGTCAACAATAGTGTGAGTTGACTTGAATATTATAACTGGGGTTTATTGCCCAGATCGTCGTGCGCTTGCTATGTGGATACAAAACTTACATTGAAGAACAAATTGGAAATTTACGGCAAGAACGAAATAATTAATAATTCGCCGTCAATCGCTCGAGTTAGTGACGTCACGGCGGCGGGGCTCTTCGTGTCCTTCCAACGCACTCCAAATACATTCTGCCGGTGAGGAGGTTGGTCGTTAGAACGGTACTGGTGACTCCCTTAGAAGGTCAAAGCTGTCACCAGTTGACTTTTCCAGATCCATCACCCCTCCCCGCCTGGACTCCCCCCTGGAAAGGGAGGCGGGGAGATGTTCGAGCTGCCAAGTTCATGTTGAGCTCAGAACCGTCCCACTAGGGTGTGCATCTGAGCTGGCAAGGTTGACCTTTTCGGATCGTCCCCCCTGGATGCTCGCCGTCAGCCCATTGGATCCTACCTTACGGGCGCCCGGGGATTAGTTCCCAGTTGACTCTAGCAACTCCTTTGAACGCGTTCTCTCGTCAACTGCCGACGGCTTACACCTCTGTCTTCTCCGCTCCGTTGGAGGGCAGCCGATGCCGTGTGTCTACCGCCGGTCACCAGTATCCGTTCGGAAGGGGAAAAGGAAAGGCAAGTCTGGCCCTCTACCTTATCTTGTTCTCAGGGGCACGGGTCCTTTCCGGACTCGGAAGAGTCCACGTCCGCCTTACGACAGCTGCACTGGGGATCATCCTCAGGGAGAAGAAGTTTAGCACCTATGAAGGCCCCGGGACAGCCGTCGTCTCCGTTCCACGAACAGGAGAGCGGATCTGCTCCGGACGATTTCGGGCTTCTGATGTGGTATGGCAGGCGGAGGCTACTTTGCGGTGCAGGATCGACCACACCTTTGTAGAAAGCCAAGTTCTGGTGAGAACTGTGGAGCCAGGGACCAGCCATCATATGTGGACCAGTTCCGATATCTGAGCAGAATGTAATCACAGGTTTGCGTGATGAGCCATTCGTACAGCCTCACTACTGGCTTTATTCTTAGCTTTGTACGATAGAAAAAAGTTTGCTTGGAGAGGATTTGAGTTCCTCGTTTTCTCAAAGGGAGCTGTTTGAAGTGGAGACACTCCGAGGGATCCTTGCGCGCCCTCTCGTGGAAGAGTTTTGGGGATAGCGCTTGCCGTCCGTATCAAGCTGAAATGAAGCAAGGAGAGGACAGAGGTTCTGCCCTCATGTCGGAAGAGAAACCGGATTCGATGGTCGTCGTCTCTTTTCAGTTGGTCATAGACAGAGAGATAGTCATCCTCTGTATGTTTTATTATCGAATGGAATAGACGATGGGCTCAGGGATAACTCGAATTTCCCAACTCCAGAAATAAAGACGGTATCCGAAGCAATTTTGAGGCTGTTTCACCAAGAACACGATAAATGGTCGTCAACGTCTCGCCTTTTCTTACTTTTCGCCGTGCCCCGTGATGCTCTTATGGGCGACATAAACGGAAAAAACTACATGCGCTACAACAATCATTTTTGGCATCTGATTCATCGCACATCAGAATATGCTGTATTCCTCGGATTCTGCACCATAGTGATTACATGTCGATGTGGGAAGTGACGTGGAGGCAAAACGGAGGCAGCAGCTTGCAGTTCGATGCATATCAGTCACACTGCTCAAAAATTGGTACACTTTGCCGACACGGTAAGCAATGTCAGATCCATTTCCCTTTGGGGGGACAAATTATGTTGGGTCATCGATCAAACAAAACTAACTGTATCTCAAGAAATTGCTACCATAGTCGTATGTTGAACTCGATCTAGTGTACACCTTCACATTTATTGAGAAGCCATTTCTTTCAGGGGTAACCACAACTGTAAGAAAGTTGCAGAGATTTTGAAAATCTGCGTAGAACTTTGCCGCACAAATGAAATCGTTTCTACTACGGCCTGAACTGAAACTACAGCCAGCATATTATTCACAGATACAAGAACATATGTTGATGCGTTTTTGTGAATTCTTGAGCATGGAGTCAGTCAATTCCGGAGACAGAACATATGGCGAAAAGATTGATGTGACCTTGTGGAACCAGTTGGAAATGGTTATCTTGATCACAGGGCGATTAATAAAAACAGGCCCTAGTGACCTGGTTTTTCTATGTTGACAAAGCATGGTTGTCGGTTAATGTGCATAACTTTCTTTAATGATGCTAGTGGGAAAGGATAGCTGAAAGATAGTTGCTGCATCGACCATTGATGAAAGCAACAAATTTGGAATCTTAAAAATACAATGGATTTTATCAGTGTAGCTTACAACGTTTGAAGAGTGTTAACTTTTAGCAACAAACTCTCTCCTTTAAGAAACAAACCTACTATAATGATTTGACTGGCAAAAGAATTTTTTTCCATTGGGCATTGCTTTCTTCTTTCACAATAGTTTTCCAAAACGTGAGGTTGAGTAAGAGCAAAGAGTTTCTATCGTTTTCAAAGTGAAGATATTAGGTAGATAGTCAAAACATGTTACATACGCCACAATAAGTGATTGGTAATCAATTTGAGGTTGATCTTGTCTGGTCATAGAATGTGAGAGTGGTAAGTAGGCTAAGGGGGTGGGACAAGAGAATGATTAATTTAGTTGTTGAAAGCAGTGGTCTTAATGAGTCGTTAGGGGTAGAACTTTATTGTTGAACAAGATCTTAAATCAAAAACCTGAATATTCAGGCATTCGGATGGGGACTGGGGTTGACCTAGATCGATGAAAATAAAGGAATAATATATTTTTCATAGATAATTACACCTAGATAGTTTAATATACAAACAAGACAGTGGTTGTAAACAATATCTTCCTTGATGAGGTGTGTTGTAGCTCATGAAAATATAGAAAATGCTTTAGAGTGAATAACTTAAGCTTATTCTAGAGATCTATAAATTGATAGGCAACACAACGAAATAGTTAAGGAAACCTTGTAGTTAGGGTGCGTGAATAATTTTTGAAAAATGGGAGTAAACTTTAATCGGAAAGACTTGATGAGATACAATTACCCTCGAACACATGAAGAAAAAAGTTTCTATTTAAAAGGGTTCATGAATGGGCAAATGAGTATGGTGTTAGTGACATGGTAGGTTTTCCATTCAATATTTTTATTTCGTTTATATCTTTTGGGATGAAAAACAATGGGCGATTTCCCATTTGATAAAAGTGAAGGAATGCTCAAAATTTTACTCTCCAGTTCAAGTAACTACTTTAAAACTCAACTTGCATTCAACTCGGGGTAACAACTTTATAAAGATGGAAGCAACCTTAGATTTCTTTTTGATGGAATAAAACTAATTTAAATGAAATTAATTTTTGATATAAATGAAAAAATACCAGTCACTAAGATCAGTCAGTAAACAACTGAAAAATATGGGCAAGAACCCCAAAAAGTTCTATGAATTAGTGAGAGCAATAATAAAGAATTATCATAGCTAGTAACCAAGTAGGGTGCTTTTCCTGAGGAGGCATGCATTAAATGTAGTCAAATAATTAATGATGGAACATTGGTGCAAGATTTTAACCAATGAAGTGAGAAGGCTGAAAAAATATTGTAGTCATTAGTAGAAATTGATGAATAACATAGATAAGCAATGATAAATCACAAGTATTTACCAAAATAAACCCAATAACATTGTAACAAATAATTTTTAAGAAGAGTGGGCATATGAGTGCTTGAAAGTTGTGTACGAAGACAGTCACTTATCATGAGCAGATTGCAATAGGGAATTCGCAGAATTATGAGCTAACAATAAATAAATAGATTGAAAAAAAAAACACCATTTGAAAATATCGCCCTACAATTTGACAAAAAGGGCGGGGATTCCATAACATTATAGAGTGATGAATAAGTAAATTGCAGCTCATCCAATTTTCTGGACCCAATGAATTTGTGATATTAACCTTACTAGAAGTTAGAATTAGGATTATGTTATTTAGTATGTGAAAAAATTTATGACAAACAAGAACCTTGGAAGGTTCTGCATGGGATATTGAAGTAGGGTATCTAGAAATAGTAGATTTTTTTTTCTGAAAATGTATGCCAAGACTAAATAAAACGGTGATTGTAAAATGTGCAATTTATTTGTGAAATAAATTTACTAGAAAGACAATGGTCGATAATAGTACAATAAGTATGAGAAGTGACTAATTTATTTGTGGCTTGGGGGGCGGTATCTTCAAGGAAAAAAAGCTTTGACAAATATAAGCCTTCCTTTTCATTTCCAGACCTCCACAGCGATCTGGTTAAAGTTATATCGTCTAATTAGGCCTAAACTATGCTCAATTGCTTGCAGACATTGCAGACCACAAGAATATATACGGACACAATGTCTACAAGCATTTGAGCATTTGGCCACCATTAGCTCCCTGAAAGTTCTGCCACATCTCGGAAATGCGAGAGACAGAAGTGACCTGGGTAATAATGTTTGGAATGTCTACAGGCATTTGAGGTCTGCAATTCCAGACCTCCACAGTGACCTGGTTGATAATGTCAACCTAGAATGTTGTCCGCCACTCCTCTCAACAACTTGAGCTAAATATTAGCTCTGATGAGACCCAGTCCAAGTTTTGGTATGTTAATCCTGCCCTATATGTCATGTATACATATTAGAGGAAAGAACAAAGATAGATGGCTGATGCATACATACATACATAAATATATACATACGTACGTACATACGTAGATGCATAGCGAGAGAGATAGATATGGGCTGCCAAACAGATGACCGCGGAATAGATTCGTGACATGAGAAAGTAGACTGCAGACTCTTGGAACGGTCAGGTTTGTCGTGCAACAGCGTAATAATCATGGAAGATTTAGAGAATCATGTTTTCTCAAGGTTTGTATAGTGAAACATCGTAATAATCCTGGAACATTCATTTAGATAATCATGTCTTCTCAACGTTCGTACATCGAAACCGCGTAATAATCATGGAATATTCATTTAGACAATCATGTCTTCTCAAACTTTGTATAATGAAACAGCACAATAATCATGGAACATTCATTTAGACAATCGTTTCTTCCCAAAGTTTGTATAATTGAACAGCCTAATAATCATGGAACATTCATTTAGACAATTGTGCCTTCCCAAAATTTGTATAATTAAAGAGCGTAATAATTATGGAACATTCATTGGGACAATCATGAAACTACAGCTCATATAAGGTTGCGGGGGAAGAAAGAATGAGCGAGAGAGAGGATCTCGCGAGCGTGCCCACTCCCTGAGACTTGTTTTCCACCGTCACATGGTTGTCGGGGTCAACCGCCGCCGTAGAATCTCTGGTGCCGGAGTTCTTTGACCCGTTTTTTTCAAGTCCCCTTCACGTGCCGCCTTTCAGACCGAAGAGCGATTCATCCTAGGGAGCGCAAGCGCAAGCGCGCAGATTTTTTAATTGTCGTAAAGACGCGGAGAGAAAGAGAGAGGAAGTTTCCAAGGTATGCTCGTGATCGACGTAAGCTGTGCTGTACGTCCAACTCGGATATTAGTCAAACGGAACGCTCTGCTACAACAATGAGTCCTTAATTCGGATCCAGTCACTGGTTGGTGCCAGGTGAGGGAAGATTCTGCGCTGGCTGCGAATCATCTCGTCGTAAATGGCTTGCCGTCCAAGTCTGTTCTCTGCCCCCTGGCACCGTGCAGCACCTCTCTCTTTGTGTATTTCGCTTAATGTTATAAGAAAGAATGTAATGCAGAGTTTTGGCGAGGATCTGCCGGTCGGAATCAAGGGATGCCTCTGGTTTCCGTTCCCATCCTTACTCAGCAGTTGGCTGCTTAACTTTTTGGGTAACTTCGTTTCTTCAGTTCTTACTTCTCCCTCTCCTGTGAGCTGAATTCTAAGAGCCACCGCGCTCTTGGTTTGTTTTCGTTTGCTTTCTTCGATCCGAAATGAGAATTGATCCTTCGAGCGCTGAAAACCCAGTGTGATTTCTTCTTCTTCGAGCTCGGATAAGTGTCTATCCGGCTGTTCTCAGACTTTTTCCCCATCGAGCTCGTCAGGGAAATCTCCCCTTTTCTGTTTGACCGGTGCCGCAGTTCCCATTTACTTCTTTTCTGATTCGTTCATCAATCCAAATTAATAGACTCTTAATGAGAGGGGTGTTTAACCTTTTTCCTGCTTCCGTTTTCTAAAGGAACACAGTGTAGAATCCTCTGGCAGCTAGGTGAGATAGGGCGTTTGCTCTCTCTGTGTCTCTCTCCCTACAACACACACACATGTCATCCTCTGTTGGGACGGGGTCGCCTAATGTATTCAATCACGGTGGAGGAAGACGACGTATAGGCTACATTCATCCTCTTCTATGATAGCTGTCTGCGGAGAGAACGAGCAAGCACTCTTCCTCGTGTTCTACTGTGCTCAGTCTGTGATAACGACAGTGTTTCTTCCCCTGCCGTTTCCCCCGCAGCATAGCATACATGGCCTTGTCGAGGGCCACCCGAATTATACGCAGGCAGCCGCTAGCCGCCGATCTCCTGAGCCCCATCCGAGTTCCCAGCAACACCAGCAGCAGTCGTGCAGGGATCCTCTCTGGTAGCCTCCCTCCATCCGGACGGCAAAGTCTCCCCCCGGCCAGATACATCTCCACAGGTGCCAGTCTGCCGAATCACGTCCCTAGCTTCAGGGCTATAAGCACCACCCCCTGCCATCACTTCCCGTCGGCAGAGAAGATGGCCGAAGAGGAGGAGGAGGAGGAGGATGAGAAGGAGAGGAGGGAGATGCTGCCGGGGCTGGGGATGACGAAGCCGGGGGAGAAGCCGCGGGTCGTGGTTCTGGGCAGCGGGTGGGCGGCCTGCCGGTTCCTGAAGGACCTGGACACGGAGACGTACGACGCGGTGTGCGTCTCCCCGAGGAACCACATGGTCTTCACCCCCCTCCTCGCCTCCACCTGCGTCGGCACCCTCGAGTTCCGCTCCGTTGCCGAGCCCGTCAGCCGCATCCAGCCGGCGCTCTCCTCCTCACCCAACTCCTACTTCTTCCTGGCCTCCTGCACTGGCATCGACACGCGCAGGCACGAGGTCTGCACAGTCCCCCTCTCGATATTTCTTACTCTTATCTTCACCACTCGTAAGTTTTTCTTTTAACACATTTACAGTGCGATACATTCTTAAAAGAATTCATAGTGCTACATATCTTGACCCTGAGCCTCATTCATAAATAAAAAACATGGTATTTTATTGAAGCAAAACACTGTCACGATAAGAACAATCGTCAAATATGGTAGTTCCCTCATTTTATTTTTGCGAAACACTGTCACGATAAGAGCAAAACACTGTCATCGATTATTTTAGCGCTTCGATTATTGAACCAAATCCTTTATATTGATCATCAGTTGTTAAGCTGATTGATGGGTCTTTCCCTCATTTAGATAAAGATTGTCAATTTGAGCAGGTAATCTGATTCCTCACAGGTGTACTGCGAGGCCGCGCCAAATAGCGGCCTGCCCTCAGAGCCCTACAGGTTTAAAGTGGCGTACGACAAGCTCGTGATCGCAGCTGGCGCCGACCCGCTGACTTTCAATGTCAAGGGGGTCAAGCCGCACGCCTTCTTCCTCCGCGAAGTCGGCCATGCGCAGGAGATCCGGAAGAAGTTGCTCCTGAACCTAATGCTCTCCGAGAACCCAGGTAAGCGTTCTTCAGATGTTGTCCCACGTCGGCTGTGAAAATTACCGAGTAAACGATTTAGACTTTGAAAAAGTCATGGAGTCGGATGGCGCGAGGGTCGCAGGGTTATCCGAGGCAGAGAAGAAACGACTACTGCACTGCGTGGTCGTCGGAGGAGGGCCTACCGGCGTCGAGTTCAGCGGTGAACTAAGCGACTTCATAATGAGGGATGTCCGACGGAGGCATTCTCACGTCAAGGACTACGTTCGCGTTACCCTCATCGAGGTACGTTTCAGTCTGATCACACGCTTGAACTCATAAAATCTCTCTCTCTCTCTGCGTTTATCTCTCTCCCTCTTTGTTGGATAAATGGGAGTAAAATTTGATTCAAAACAGGCGAACGAGATATTATCGTCGTTCGACGTGAGGTTGAGGCAGTACGCCAACAATCACTTGACAAAGGTAAGGCAGGAACGAGATGAAACCCAGGGTTACCTGGTCTCTATGGTGGCTTGATACCTCGCTCCTGCATGCATCAGTGTGGGGTTCGCCTGGTGAGAGGCGTTGTGAAGGAGGTCCAACCGAGGAAGATCGTGCTTAACGATGGCTCCGAGGTTCCTTACGGGCTGCTCGTCTGGTCGACTGGCGTCGGCCCTTCGGAGTTCGTAAGGTCCCTCGATCTCCCCAGATCTGCCGGCGGAAGGTGCCTCCTCTTCTCTCCCCAGCTCTCCTCCTCCTCTCGCCCGGTAGAGGGACACGTGTTTTGGGCTGCTTCTCCGACTGACGGGGCTGTTTGCCGGAAATCTCTGCAGGATCGGCGTCGACGAGTGGCTGCGTGTCCCTTCCGTGGAGGATGTGTTCGCGCTTGGAGACTGCGCCGGGTTTCTGGAGCAGACGGGGAGGCAGGTGCTTCCGGCTCTGGCTCAGGTCCGCTCTTCTCTCACGAGACCCGCTTTGAAGGATGCCGGAGGACTAAAACATGCCTGGCGATTGAACAGGTGGCGGAGAGGGAGGGCAAGTACTTGGCGGTGCTGTTCAGCAAGATCGCGAAGCAGAACGGCGGAAGAGCGTCCGCCACCGGAGAGGTCGCCCTCGGAGAGCCCTTCGTGTACAAGCACCGGGGAAGCATGGCGTCCGTGGGGCGTTACAAGGCTCTCGTCGATCTCAGGCGGAGCAAGGTCGGCAGCAGTCGATCGATCTCTCCTCCAGCTCTTGGCCCTCCGATTCTTCTTCTTCTGCATTTATTCGGCTCAGACGCCTGGTTCTTCTCCTCGCTGCAGGATGCTAAGGGGCTCTCCCTCGCGGGGTTTGTCAGCTGGCTCATCTGGAGGTCGGCCTACCTCACGCGCGTGGTGAGCTGGAGGAACCGGTTTTACGTCGTGGTGAACTGGGCGACCACCCTCGTCTTCGGCCGGGATAACTCCCGCATAGGAGGCTGCTCGTAGAGAAGAGCCCCAGCGAAGCCAGTATATTTCTCTTCGGCTGCGGGACGCATCGCCTTCCTAACAAGTACGATTTCACTAAGTGATCACTTCGCTTCAGAGGTCTGCCTGTAATCCAGAGGTGTCGCAGTGTCCTCTACCCGCGAGGAGAGATGATACGACGATGCTTCAGACTGTCGATGGTCCCTCATAGTATAAGAGGCAGGAAAGACCATGGAATGTAACACAACGAGACGGCTTCTCAGAGTCCGACGTCCTCGAAGCCAACACCGCCGTACATGAGCAGCAAAGAACGAAAAAGAGGAGAGAAAATAATGGGAATGGTGAAAGAACATGTGAGCAGCCGCTCCACGACCCACGAAGAAGGAGAAGAATCCCCAGAGCACGCCCCGATCGGAGGACCCCCTTCGTCAGCTTCGTCGATATCCCCACGCGCAGGCCGCCGGCGAAGCAGCAACTGCAGCAAGCAGAGGGCGGTCATATCGCAGCCCTCAGGGCGCCTCGCGCGGCCTCCCTCTTCATCTCGGCAGCCTTTCCGGACCCTCTGAAGTACATGTACACTTGCTGCAGACCCCAGCGATACAAATCGATCGTTCAGTCTCGACATCGATGGAGGCACCAAAACAATTGCGAGAAAGGGACGATGAGATGGAATTTTTCCGAGGCATCTTCCTCCCCCCCTTTTTTCTCTCTCTCCTCGAGTCAGACGACGTAATGAGGTAGAGTATACCAGAAAACCGTCGTCTTTTAAGAACGAAGACCACCCCATTTTCGCCAAATCAAATCAGAACCCAACGTTGTTGAGCAGTGATTCAACCCTGCCTGAAGCATCATCACCTTTGATGAGAGCAGAAGAAACTGACCTGAATAACCCATATACTGAGCAGAGATTCAATGCAGAAGAATCCGAACCCTATAAAGTACAATATCTGCAAACAACAAGTATCGAGTTACTCTGGATCGTCGATCCAAAACCATGATAAACGAAAATTGTCCGCGAGTGTTGACGGACAAAAACTGCCAGTAAATGCAAGGATCTCAAAAACCCAAAGTCAACGTTTATGCCGTCGACATCACTTATTTCCCCTTCTCCCTTCCAAAAAATGGAATAAACTTACCCCAACCGCAGCATGGTCGCCGACAACATCTATTGCTGGAAACATGCCACTGCACAAACAAAACATAGGAAAGATCAGCAAAATCCCGGAAGGAAAGATATGTTCTGATGCGAGACGAATATGTTTATAAACAGAATCCCCCTGAAATCAAGCACCCATTGGCAATGTGCACATTCAACAAAGCAAAAACTCATGCAGACAATTTGAAAAATTGTAGAAGAAGCCAAACCCTCTTCACGGGATGAGATCAACTGAGTGCGCAACCAGTAAAACCCTTTCTTTTACGACAGTATATTGCCATGTTTAATCCAACAAATAATGATTTTTTATGCAACAATTCTGATGGCAAAGAGTAAAAAAGGTAGGCACTACAGATGTATGTTAGTTCTCAAGACCTAGAACCGGATCTCGTTAATGAATATCAAACCACGTCAATCAGAGTTTCAGATCAAAGAGAGATCACGAGGTAATCCCAAACCTCTCTCTAGCACTCGCCAATCAGTGCCATTTTCCACATTTATACACGACCTATCTGTGTTGTGTGTTTCAGCATTCATTTCATTGTATTTATACACAGTGAGAACACAATAATCACGAAGAATATCAGGCATGTCTACCAAAAGAAGCAGTTTTGTCGATTAATTCATCAAGCTGTAATAAATCTGGATTCGTCTGCAACTCCAGGACAACAGATGTAAGGTAAAAAAAAGATATATATGGCATCTCAATCGTCCAACTATAACGACAAGAAAAACTTTCCAAAATATAAATGGCCATAAATAAACCTTTAGCAAGTCTTTTTTGTTCTATATGAAGGAAGACAGCTATACCTATTCTATACAGTCCAACCTTCATTAACTAGGTTTTTGAAAAACAGAATATCTGGAGACTTACGCTAAAGATTCTCCTTTAAAGATTACAGGCGGAGCCACAGCAGCGTAGACAACAAAGCATATGTGAACCTATGGCCAATGAGGGTGGAATCATATAAGTTATCATTCAATCGAAATTATACCATAAAGAAGCACTAAAAATATGCAGCTACTAAGCATTTGAAAATGGAATTGGCAAAGGCTGACCAAGTAGAACAAAAAGAACCATCCAAACTTCAGAGCACTTTCAGTCCTGCAATCACCGACAAATTTTCAGCGAGTGGAAACACCACGTTGGGCCAAAAAATGAGACAAGTTAAATCTAGCTGGTTAGCTTAGACTGTTAAGAACAGAGAGAGCCATGAAACTACATTGCCACATTGTCTTACCTCATAGCACGGTAAAGAGGTCGGTACCACAAAACATAAGCTCCAGGGGACCCGGATATGAAGTATATAATTGCAAGGAACCATATCATTACCCCTACAAGAAAATTATTCCGATCTTAGATTATTTAGTTTATGTAACTGTATTAGATGTAATACCCAAAAATGTTTCATAACAGAGAATTTTCACGTAATTCACGCAGAGAAGTGCAAACTGCTGAAATTGGACCTGTACCTCGTCCTCCAATCCAAGCAGCGGTAACAGCTATGATGTTCCAGAAAAGACAAGCAGTCAACCCTGCAGAGAGTCCACAGTTCACGAAAATGCGAACAAAACTTTATGCTGACGAAACCTTTGCACTATTAAAAAAAATCATAAATCTGCCAAAAGACAAACTGAGTACATTTTATTTCACAAACGCTGGGAACGAATATTTAAAGTTCAGGCTCAATCCATGATGAGTAAAAAGAAATTCTTCCTCCAAATTCAGGAAAACCCACAACATCAAATAGCAGAGGACAGATAACAACACAGGCTAACACGTTAAGAATTCAAAGCTTGAAATAGCTGCGTCAATAAAAACAGTTCCTCATATCTCAGGAAATTCATGACACAGAATAGGAAAGCATACCTAACAAGGATGCAAATGCAAAATACTGCAACCTCTGTAGATGAATGGGGATTTCATTTGCAATGTGATGATGTATAATGGGGAAAAATGGTGGCCAATTTTTCTCCTCAATAACAATTCCAGCTGCAAAGAGAGCAAAACAAAATTGTGTTGCCTATTAGATTCAATGAAGTATAAACCTAAAGCAGTATGGAGTATACGGAACATAAAGACACCTCGTGCAGCAGCTTCTTCCCTCCGTTTTAGTTCCTGCAATTTTGACAGGTAAATGAAAACAGCATTTCATGCAACAGAAAAGCCACAAAAAAGCTACAATTTTCCATAAAAAATATTTATCAGAGGATGATAAGAAAAAGCCTATAGAATAGCCATATCGGGAAAAAAAAATGATCTTGCATAATGGATGCTCTCATATCAAGAAATTGCAGTGCCGTGATGACACCAGACTAGGATTAAGAGTCATACAAAATGGAAAAAATTTAGGCAATTAGTAGGATGAGATATTATTCTGCCCGAGTGTCCTCTCTCTCCCTTTAGTGCTTATTGGCATAGTCTTGCGGACAACCAAGGCCAACATAGACACACAATTCAGCAGAATTAAGAACGAAAAGGCCAAGAAACGACTGGTGACTGAATGTCATAAACAGTCGGAAATATCCTCGTGAAAGCAAACTTCCATGTGACAACATCGTTCTGGGGGATTATGACCCTTTTAGAGTTGCAAGAGAAAGTATATTCAGTGTATGTAGATATTAGAAACCAGTAAAACAGAATTTAGCTAAAGAAATAGAAAAGTTTTTATGCTGATAGACCACGGATGTGAAACCCCCAGGTATATTAGTGTGTTCACCGTACTTTTTCCGCTGTTCTGGACAACTGCGGTTGCAGAACTTGGGATCTCGACTCCAATGCTGAGCTCCCTGAGCGAGCTGGCAAACAGCCAGCAGTCAAAAGATATGAATCCTCATTCAAATAAAAAAAATGAAAAGAATGAATTTTTAGATGAGACCTGCGGAGATTTTCCAGTGAGGAGATTGTCCCCCCAGCACTGCATCTCTTTTCTTGTTTTTAGAAAATTTTACGAGGATAGTACTTTTCAATTCTAAAAGCCTTATGCGCAACTTACAGTTTTGTACAATCTTTTAAAATAAGAAGCCCCTGCCTCAGCCAAGTATTTCAATCCCCATTTTTTTATAAGGCTACGAAAAAACCTGGAGTTCAGCTCCATGTTTTGATACAGGATGAAAAGCGACATGAACACTGTTCATGTAGTCATCTATATCCAGAGTTTGCACTATTTTGATGTGATGGCTCTTAATCCTATGCTGAAAAAAATATGTGTTTCCACCATGGCACTCATACTTTTTCTCCTCATCCCATGCCCTCTTGCCTTCAACGGCATTGCCAATCCGTCATTCACAGCTACGTCAAGAGTGTCAATGAATTGCCACATGAATGTAAACAGACTCGAGAGGTACAAAGTTGATAGCCAAAACACGAAAAAACTAGCCACCTATATGTGCACCTGAATCAAATAAAATAGGTGGAGGATCGGCAGTTGTAATTTTCTAAACAATGTTATGTACCTGTTCCCTCTTCTTAAGTTCAGCTTCCTTCACCAGAAGTTCTTTCTCCCTCTTTTTAAAATCCTTATCAAAAGAGAAAATTAAAGACGGAAATATCAGGCTGAAGTTCTAGACACCAAATCAGCATTTAAATTTACAAGATACCTTTGCATTATCGAGAGGAATGTCAACTGTGGCACCACGGTCATTGTAAAAGTCAACTGGTTCAGGAGGAAGAGGTGAAAGCCTGGAATTTGAGGCAGGAGGGACACTCCCAAGGTTCTGGGAAATTCGCAAAACACTAGTTAGGCACGAATAGCATCTACAAAAATAGACAGCAGACAAACACTAAAAGACGGTACATAAAAGAATACTATGGTTATAAAAAGGAAAAAAATAAAAGAGCACAGGTATTAACAATAACTGAGTAACTATGGTTAAATATTCTTATGATATTTCAATGAAAAATTGCTGTTTTATCAAGAGAATACCATACAGTCGTAGTTTAATTCATTAAAAAATTCTACATCTCATATTACATGATTTGTAGGATAAACGATAGTTTGTATCGGAAATACAGTGCATCTTAAAACACTATTGAAGCGGTTAAATATTTGAAATTTTGAAAGAGCAATAAATTTCATCTTATGCCAGTTATAGAAAAGAGAGAAAAATATGCATTGGCTAAATTATGACAAAAAACATGTTCAAGTATTTTGGTTGTTAAAGAAAAAGTCAGCAAAACAAGGACAAAACATCTTGCTCTACCGTGGGAATGTATTCACGGTCTCTGGGAGCCCATATTTGTACACGTGTAACGATACTGAGGACGTTTTCCATCAGATATCATGCTCTACCGTCTTCTTCTGAGAATATAAAGTACTGGAACCAAGCTAAGAAATGGATGACATCTTCAATCATCAAAGGCCTACTTGGGATCCACATATTTTTGCACATCTTGTGGATGGCTGCTGACAAGTGTTATTGAGTTGATGGAAGATAACATAGGTGAGTTGAAAGATGAAGTTAAACCTTTGATTGGTAGAATAAAATTAATCAAAGACTAGGAGAAGAAAAAAGGGAATGGATGAAAGTGACGATAAATTAACAACCTCAGTGTGTCACCACGTTTCTCAAAAGGCTCAGTCTAAGAGAAAGGGCATGCTGAATACAAAGTATGAGTAACTTACCACAAACTAAACACATGAAGATGGCACGAGCCTTTTATCTTGAAGAAGGGTAGTTCTCAGTCACTCTAGGATTTAAGAGTAGGGACAAGGAGAGGTATGACTTAGTGGACGTCTCTAGGAATCCGGAAAATTTTTACATAGCCCAGAGGGTTGAAGTCACTTGTCATAAAAAGAGAAAACGAGCTACAAATAGAAAAACTTCAATAAATGGGACAATATTTGATGATACTTAAAGACAGAATTCAGCGCATGATAGGACTGTAGGAACTATTCATTAATTTTACTTTGTTTTTTGTTCATTTTATTCTGAAGTTGGGAAGGGGATTACGTCACTTTAACATGTGAAACATTTCATGAAAAATAAGAATCTAGTAAGATTCTGAATAAGTTACTGAATTAGGGTAACTAGAAAGAGTAGAATTAATTTTCTGATAATGTATGCCAACCTTATTTAAAATGTTAATAGTAAAATGAGTATGAGAAAGGACTAATTCATCTGTGGCTTGAGGTGGCGATATCTTCAAGCAAAAGAACCTTGACCTCCACAGTGACCTGGTTAGAAGTTATGTCGACCAATCAGGCCCAAATTATTCTCAAATGCTTGTTGACATTGCAGACCACTAAAGTATATACGGGTAGAAACCCTTCTCACACAGTGCTTCATAACACTGATTTCTGCCTATTGCATTTCCCAGATGTAGCAGCACTTTAAGAGAGCTGATCGTGACCATGGAAATAAGATGACCCGAACAGAGATCCCGGTGAGATCGAATTGGCAACTGGGAAGCTTTTAAAGCGCCGCAGTACCGGCAGCCACAACCTGATACTTGTGAGAGAAGATAGTCGCACCTTATTTTCAAAGCGGCTAGCCCCCATTTCAAAGTGCACGCAATAAGCTCGTGCCCCACTAGATATAAAACAGCAGGTGTACACTCCATTTCAAAAATGGGGTCTACACATGCGAGCTGCTCAAACTAAAGCAACTTAGACTGTAACTCTAATGGCAAGAGGAGATACCATTCAGATTCCACATGGCATCTCAAGATTACAGGCCACCACCCCGCCTATAGAAAAAGGAAAAGAACAAGGGGAAAAAGAAAAAAAAAAACTCTGGGTTGCAGCAACTTTTCTGTCTGAAGCTAGCTCGCTCTTTGCCCAAGATGCTGAGCATGTTGACTATATCTTCAAAACTTGGTCACCCTGAAAGGAAATGGGAGGATAACTGCGCGCAGCACATGCCGTCAACCAAACACTAATGACCCATAAGATTATAATGAGCAGTGATCTACTAGATCATATGCATTCCTAATTCTTGCGTTACTGAATGAGAACCAGAAAAATGTCACGTAGTTAGATGAGCAATCGTCGAGTTTCTGGCAATGTTTGAGCAGATGGATACATAAACCTTGTGTTGTTCGCACCACCATAACCACCGTTCAGAAGATGTAAAAATGCTGTGTTTTCTTCAGATGAGACTGATCCCGAGTGGGGTCAGAATGGATGCAGCTACTACAATTGATCCTTGAGCCATCATCCCGACCTCCGAAAACCATTCAAATCTTGGCAGAAATCCATTGCGTGGCAAAGTCAATCTCGCCGGATAGAAAAAGGGGCAGGGGCAATGAAACAGTCTAAGGGCCCTCGTCGGAAAGCAAGATACGAGGTCTCTTGGTTACCGGCCTCAGGCCCTCAAGGACAAGGATCGCTGAGCCCTGGTAAACGCGCATTGTGAAGGAGAAACCCCAGGATTGATTATTCTTGGAACAGATCCCCCATCGAATGCCCATTCCCAGAAGGAAGATCGAGAAAGGAAGAGATGAGGAAGACAATGTCGCAGCGCGAGATATATGCAGGGATTCACCTCCTCCTCGTCGAATGGGTTGTTGTCGTACAGGCCCGTCATGTGGTCGCCACCGCCACCGCTCCTTCCTCGTCAATCCGCAGATCCCACGCTCCTGCGCCGGAATGTCGCCTCTCGGACGCACAAGAACACAAATGCGCGAGGAGATGGACGGTGAGAGAACGGGACGGCGGGCCGCCCTCCCTGTCCCTCCGCCGTTTTAGGAATGCCCGACGGGGAGCACGGCGGTAGCGCCGTTTCTACTCTGTATCGGATCGGACTCGCGGCCGTCTTCCCACCGTCCACGGCCCCGACGACCAAATCAAATCATCTGCTAGGAAACGAATACGGATCGTCATCTCACCCGATTTCCTCGGCGACACAATTTATGCGGGAATGAATAACGGACGGTCGAGTGATGGAGTTCTTCTCTCCGCGTTTGACGCTGCTGCCCACAGAGAGACAGGGAAACAGATCCTACAGTAGAGCAGTCCGCGATCGACTTTCACCGAGTCTCTGCTCCTGCCTTGCGAGAGAATGGTCGAAAGAATTTCACTAGGGACTAGGTGACCCTTCTGTACAGAGCGAGAAGAAGAAGAAGAAGAAGAAGAGATGGAGCTCAACGATCCGCTAAGACGAATACATCATCGTCGCCGTCGTCATCTCCCTCGAAGAACTTAACCTAGGAAATTAATCAAATGAATGGGCACGCCCGAACAGAGCATCTCGTCACCAGCGCGCGCACGGCACGTCCGCTGAGAACATTGTTTTCTCGACGGGCACCTGACGGCGGCGGCCCACGCGACCCACCTACGCCAGCGGCGGTGCCGACTCAGCTCACCAGCAGCCGTCCCCTCCTCTCTAAACCGGCGTGGAGCTCCCACCTGCGGCCTCCTTCATTTCATCCACCATCCGCACCAGATCTTGGACGACCTCCGACACCGGCGGCCGGAACTCGGGGGCATTCTGCAAGAGCCAAGGAATGATGTCAAGCCGCCGGCCGCACACCAAAAAAGGCGAGCTAGAAGGCAGCGCAGATCATGTCGGAGCTTCAACCGCGAGGCAGTGAGAGAGGAAACCGCACCTGAACACAGCGGCTGATGATGTCCGCAAAGCGAGACAGAGACTTCTCCGGATACTTCCCATCAATGGAGGGATCCACCATCTTCGTCAACATGTTGATGTCGTAAAACTGAGAGCTCGCCCATCTCACCAGATACTGCTCCCCTCGAGGTCGCGAACTTCGGAATTTCAAGAAAACAAAGACACACGGAGAGAGAAAGAAGCACACGATTAGCCCTTGTATTTCAGTTCCTGGTGTGATAGAAGGGCATTATTGTTGTGGCATCAGCTCACCTGTCGTAGGGTTTACGCCCCGTGAGAAGCTCGAGCATCACGACTCCGAAGCTGTAGATGTCGCTGTGCTCTGTGTACGACCCGGACTCGTTGATCTCGGGCGCTTCGTAGCTGAATGAACGTATCTTCCCTGACAACTGAGATCAGCAAGATAACGTCGCGTCAGAACACCAACCCCCATCAGATGCGACGGCATCGAGCTCGCCGATCGTCCCCCACCTGGGTCACCGACGAGGATGAGAGCAGGGGAGAGAGGCCGCAGTCGCAGACGCGCACAGCGAGCTCGTCGTCCAGAAGAATGTTGGAGGACTCGAAGTTCTGATGCACCACGGGCGGCTCGCAGGAGTCATGGAGGTACCTTCCCCATTAAAACAGAGAAATATCGTCAGAAAACAAAAACAATAATGTTCCAAACATGAGAGCGCATCAGATCTTACTCCAAGGCCCTGGCAGCTCCGAGGGCCACTTGGATGCGGGCCTTCCACGACAGCTTCCTCTTGAGATCCTCTTCCCCATGGAGGACGTCGTGAAGGGTTCTTCTGCTGAAGTAGTCATAAACCAGCAGCCGCTGCCCATGCTCGGCGCAGTAACCCACCAGCTTGAGAATGTTGGCGTGCCGGAGCTCAGAGATGCCCAGCACCATCTCAAGGAAAGTATCCACTGGAAGGGAGTTGTTCACGTTGTCCAGCTTCATAATCGCTAATTGCTGAACAACGGGAAAATTATCATCACTCTGCAACCCACCCAACAGCAGGTTTATGCTCACATCCATCGAGCGAGAGAGAGAGAGAGAGAGAGAGAGAGAGAGACAGTCCATTCTGATAAAGTGATACAAGAAATTTCTTAAACAAATGCCTTCTTGGGAGGCAGAAGAAGAAGCAGGCACACTGCGAGGATTAATTGACGAGGAGGGGTCACCATTTATCCAGCTGTGGGCAAAGTTGGTCAGGGCAATCAATACCTTTCCATCGGGAAGCCTTGCACGGTAAACTCTGCCCAGCCTGCTGTCTCTCAGGATGTTTTCCTCGCTGAAGCTGTTCGTGTACTGCTGAAGAGAACCCACAGAGAAGGAGGCGACAGAAGTCGGTGGGCTCAGCTTCACCACTGGCCCAGGCGGCGACTCCCGACCTTCAGGTGGCACCCTCATCGTCTCCTCTACGGGGGGTGGTTCCACCACCGCCAACTGGGCCGGAGGGGCCACAGAGGCGGGAACCAGTTTCTCGATCCCCCACTCTTCCGGTTGCTTCACAGATGCCTCCTTCGGGACCGCCACTGCAATTGAGCAAGCCATTAGACTTCACCCACCATGAAGCCGGATAGAGCAAACTTCAAAGGTCGTACCTTTGTGGACCTCATGGCTGGAAATATCACCTCTTGGCAGAACCAGAGAATCGCGGCCTCCGAGCTCCAGCCTGGGCCTTGCACGTGCCCCGACCTCCTGCTTCTTCACCGCACTCTCTTGCGTCAGCCTTCTCTCCCGATGCTTTGATAAGCAGTAGTTTGCGATCAATATCATCGCTAGGACCAATATCACAATGCCGATTGCTCCGGCAAATGCAAGCCCGATGATTCTCGGGGTGGACAGTTTCTTCTTCCTGTTATCATCATTATTACTGCTACTGCTGTCATCAACGGGAGGGTTATTGTCCTCCGCAGATGGGCCGCTGGCAGGCTTCGACGGTGCTGCCGGAGGAACTGGTGGCCCCGAGGACGGGGACGGCGGAGAAGACGACGGTGCAGCAGTCGTGTTCAATGGATTACCATCCGACCTGCGGCAATTATGACAAACTGAATCAAAAGGGAGGAAAGCATGCACTATGCTCAAGGGCTCGAAGCATCAAAAAACAAGGGAGATGCATACTTGAAGCTTGGAATGTTATACAGCTTTGTGGGCACGGGCCCAGAGAAGAGGTTATTCGCTACGTTCCTGCGGGAACAGAAATAAAAATAAAAATTAAGGTTTACCATTCGGTGAAAGGATTCCCTAAATGAGCGGAGAGTAGCTAAGAGAACTCAGAGGGGACGGTGAGGAGGATTTACAGATCCATGAGCGGAAGGCCCTGCAGAACATCGAGGACCCCTGAGAGCTGGTTGCTCTGAATGTGTCTGCAGAGGCATCCAGATTTCAGCAAGTTTCGGTCAAAAAAATACTGAGAATCTTTTGGGGGGACTCACAAGGTGGTCAAGGAGGACAAGCTGTCCATGGAGGCTGGCAGTTGGCCGCTCAGATTGTTGAACGACAGGTCCCTGGAGAGAGAGGGAACCGTAGAGAAGAAGCTCAGCACAAGAGCAGCCTGAGCTCATAAAAGCGTTTGGAGAAAATAATCGATCCGCGCCATAAGAGACCAGAAGCATTCATCAGAACCAAATCGTAGGAAACTCACAGATTTATGAGCCCAGTCAGAGGCTGGAAAGCATCTGGTAAAGCTCCCGTCAGCATGTTGTGGCCTAAAGACCTGACGAGAAGGTGAATAGAGAAAAGATTATCAACCACAAGGATACACCCTGAATCGTCAGAATTCAGAGCGGTGGCCCCGAACAGGCAACTCAAATCCACCAAGCTTACATGTCTGTCAAGCTTCCCAGGCGAGATAATGAGCTCGGGATGCTCCCAGTGAATGCATTGTCCGATAGAAAACTGGAGGAAAAAAGGACAGAAAACTCTGACTGAGAAAAGTGGGCTCCCACTGAAGAAGCGCATGGAAGTTTCGACCAGGAGATTTGAGGACATGAACACCTACAAGCGTTGCATGGTAGTGGGCAAGCCTTCTGGTATATTTCCTCCGATGTGATTATTGCTCAGATCACTGCCTCATCCACCATAAGAAAACATGAGTAAATAAAATCAATGCTCTGCCCATCCAGCATCCACTTATCCCCAGCCCTTGCTGGAGGAAGAAGAAGAGCGCCATCATGAATGCAATTATCACGAAAAGGTGAACCACTCACATTGTTATTATGGAAGAGAAGTTCTCCAATTTATCCCCCAAATTTCCTCCCAAATTTGCTCCATTGAGAATTCTGCGAAGAACAGGAACCCCCCCTCCCCCGGTCAAAGAACTGCATAGAACATGTCTGTGAAACACCCAAGAGGAGAATGCCTTACATTCCGGTTATATTCGGGCCAACGCACTGGACTCCCTGCCAGCCCTCCACACAGGGGTCACCTCCGTTGGGGATCCATCCCGGCAGAGGAGGCGAGCCCAGCGAAACATATAGACTGTTTATGGCAAACACTGAAAGAAACACAAGATCAGAGAAAGACCAGACAAAGGGATGCATTCATAAGGCTCCTAAATCTAGGAGAGAAGCAACAGGGTCAAGGAAATAATCTGCCGCCACATTAAAGTTCTTCAACAGCGTTCCTCAGGGGTAAGGCCTCATGCACTATCAGCACCATTTAATCAATTCACACCCCCAACCAAAAACTGTGTTAAATATGACGAAGGCATGGAGGGCAGAAGCTCTGCAACTGAGTCTGATTCCCAGATCCCATGAAACCCTCCTCATTTTTCGTTATTCACGATTTTTCTCCGAAATAAGGGATTCTACAGTGAAATGAATGACGCCAGAGTCAACTGAGAGAGTACCATCCTGCTCGTAGGTGTACCCACTTGAGAGTGGTAGGATGAGCACCGCCGCCAACCCCAAGACCAAGCGGACGAGCATCTCTATGTTTGAAGGGATCACCGCCGACCTGTTCGGAAAGCAAGGGGAAGAACCTGAGAGATACACGAGGGCATCGGAAGAACGCAGCGATGAAGCCCAAAGATGGCAAAGAAAATCCTAAACAAAGCGCGTGAAGGATAGTACGAAAAGGCTGTTAAGAACAGGCAATGGCGGATGGACGTTGGGTCCTGCATTTTTGTCCCAGTGCCCCTGTCTAAATGATGTAGCGGAAGAAACAGGCCGGAAATCGTATTGGCCAAGATAAAGGAACGCGAAGAAGGAAAACTCGAAGGACGTCGGCATTTCGAGAGGCCGACCTACTCGGGCAACCCTCCCTGTCCCTCCCGAGAACTGTCGACGGAGCTTCTCACAGATCACGGGAACTGCCTTCCAGACGAGACGAGGGCGCCGAATCCAACATCAGAAGTCGGAACGAGGCTCGAACGAAGCGAATCGGGAGACCTCAGCCGCCTCAGGGCAGGGGAGGTGACCCAGGAACTCGACGATCTGAACCTCCTCCACTATGCTCCTCCATGGAAAAACCCTCCCTCCCTCAGCTCTCCGGAACGATAATGTACAGGAGAGCGAGGAAGGCTGCAACACCCGAAGCGACCACTGAAGAGACGAGTTCCGATGGGAACGAAGAACGCGATGGAGCCGAATGCAGCCCGTCAAACGGGGACCGGAGAGGGAGGAGCAGGTTGAGCCCGCGGCGGGCTACTACGATCCGCGAGTTCCAAACAGAAGAGAAAGAGGATCTGCGAGCTCTTCGTGGAGAGGGCGAACCCACCTTTCTCCGCAGAAAAAACAGTGGCCGGCGGGCAGCACCTCCTGGGCACAGAGGCTCCCCCCGAACTCGCAATCAACTCGGAAAAGGAGGAGAGCAGCGGAAAAGCAAGCGGCACAAGTCTGCGTGCGTGCTCTTTCCTCCTTTTTCCTCTCTGGGGCACTGGGAGAGTGAGAGAGAGAGAGGGAGAGACGATGGGGAAATGGCCACCTCGTCGTCCACCCCCGGTGAAAGCCGTGAAGCGTAAATCCGCCACAGTAAATGGGGAATCTTTCCGGAAAAATACAAAGAACGAAGCGCACCTTCTGCGTCCTCCGTCTGCCCGGCGGACTTGTTCTCAGTTTATTCAAGCATTTCACCCTTAGCAAAGAGGAAGAGAACTACACATCTGCTCATCATATGCGGGGAAGGGGGGTTGAGGGAGCTCTCTGAGAATGACGACGAGGGTGGCAGCGATCGATGAAGGCTCCCAAGGCGATCTGCCGTCAGAATCTTATCGGTATGTAAACTACGACGTCTGAGCTGGCCCCCACTGGTCTCATCAGTCAGAACAGCGTTTTTGAATTCCGCACGGCGGAGAGATCGGGATGGGCACGCATCGCCCCTCAACCATGTTTATCCCTCCAAATCCTCCGCCGCCTCAGATAACCATTCAAAAGAAGAACCTCGCCACAAATCCACCCCCCCAAAAAAAAGGAACAGTCGCCGATCGAGGTTCTATCAGGCATGTCACCGACCAGGTCGTCTCGGCGTGAAGCAAGAGCCTCGCCACATCATCATCATCATCTCCCTGGCCGCGCCTTACTCTGGCTTCTACTCGACGGTAAAAGAGAAGAAAAATATGCCCTTTCCGGCTTTTTGCCTCAGCCCGCCGCCCAGTGTTCCCCATCATCTCTCCATTATTGGACAAAGCCCCAGATCAGACGCAATGCGTCGACCGGGTCTCTCCATCTGACGGCGACAACGTAGTCCAACTCTCCCAGCCATGCAAGGGCACGAAGATTGAGAGAGGACGAAGACCTGCAAAGCCCCGTTTGTCTGGACAGCCACGCTCAGCCGTCAAAACCAACGACCGCCGCCCCATCGGCTGGCGGACCGTCATCTCCGGGGGCTCAACGGCCGGTTTTGGAAGGATTCCAGTCGTCGCCCTCCTCCGGACCATCGCAACGTCGCTTCTTGATGACTGGTGAGATAAGTTCGAGAACATCGCAACAAAAGATCACCCCCGGGGGCACACGTGCTCCATGTCATTGACCGTGCCAATCTGCGACGGGTCAATGCCAATTTCTTGCCGGTCCATGGTCAACCCCTGATCGGGTTGTGGGTTGTCCGTCGATCCCGTCCGATTCCACTGGTGCTGAGGTCATAAAATGTTGGGGGAGCATGGCTTACCTCATTTGCGGATGCACTCGTGCATGCAATGTCGGAAATCATGTTAGCAACTTCTACTGCTTATTGGTGTCTACCACATATTTGTAGGCTTTCTCCTACAAACATAAATAACAAATTTGTTCATGTCTTTGAAATTTTCTAGAACGATGCAAAATTACCCACCATGCTCATCAGTTTAGTTGATTAGATCATCACTATATGAGGAGGTGACCGTCATGAAGGCAAAGAGAGACATACAAGATTACCCATGCTATAATAATCATCTACAATAAGTCCTCTTTTTATAGAAAACACAAGATTAAATCTCAACATAAAAGCAATTCCTAGCTGACGTTGAATCTGTAAGTTTATCTATCAATAAAAACCATGTAATATTAAATATGGCTACACAATGCCTTGACTTATCCTTTTAGACTATAACCTCATGATTATCAATGCATTAGGAGTTGAAAATAAAATAAAACTTTAAATTTACAAGGACCGAAAAGTACACAACCTTGAATTTAAAAGAAATAAAATTAGGTTCCCTTTATTAGACAAGGAGTGAAAAAGGTTCCTTAGATCCACAACACAAGGATAAGTTCAAAATAATATGGTGGAGGATTTTCATTTTAATTTCAATAGCAGATAATGACTTTATCAATCTCTCAATAAACAATATTTAACAGAAATAGGTAGAAGAAAGTGATCAATTCTAAACTTTAGGCACAACGAATAAAGGCAACCAAAAATGTTTTGGAGATGAAGATATTATTTCTACTTGGGTTCATAATTAGGTCCTTGCCTATTGGACTTCTGATCTACAATTGATCAAAACTTCAATATTAACTCAACATTGAAGTTTTAGAAAAAGACTTGAATTAAAATACGTATTTAATTATTGTGTTATAATAAAAAAATATATTATTAAGTATGACTAATTAGAGAGTAGTTATAACAAATTTAGGTCCCTTGGTCAGCTAGGATATGAATATAAAAGAGGTGGTGGTTATGAATTATTTATGATTAGGATAATGATAAGTCTTCATTATCATAAGTTAATAATTAATGAATAATATAGTTTTAGCCTTAACTCATGATAAATAGACTTATACTTGTGTTAAATTATGAAAAGTGGTTTTCAATTGATTAATATGATTTTTAGCTAATTAAATAATTTTATGTAAATTTATGTAATTTTAATAATCTTATTTTTGAGATAAAGAAATAAAAAGTAAATAAAAAAAAAGATAAAAAAAGAGGGAGATCCGTTGGCCAGCCGAGCCTACTAGCAGGTCAAAAGTGTAGCTAGGGCAGAGCCGCTAGTAGGGGCTTGAGCGACTTTGGATAGATGGGGGCACGTGTGCATGACTCCCCTTCCACGTCACTAGTGGCTAGTTAGCTATGGGACAAGGAGTGGTCGTACATATGAGAAAGGGACTCACTACTTATAAATCTAATATTACTATATATTCATCTCCAAAACTTTGACATACAACTATTGTGGGATTAAACACACGTCACACCTTCCCTAGAAAGGTTTCAAAGATTTTAATACCTACAATACTCTTTGTTTATCAGAAGGAGGTAGTTTGATGATGTCACTTTACAAAGATATTTATGTACTTATTTCACTCTCTCTCATGCAGGTGGACGACTGACATTGATTCGAATTCTACTAGAGTTAAAACTCACATTTTTATCTAATTAAATCATGACTTTCTTGTAGATCGCCCATGAAGGATTAAGCTGCCAAAATCACTCAATCATCGACGAAAATCTTGTCAATACAATTTGCGGAGTATTATTACTAAAATTAGTGAACGATTCATCATAAAAGGATCGTGAATCCATAAGTAAAGCATCTCCAATTGATCGATGAAGAAGCCGTCGTCGAGAAGAAGATGATCAATTAGGAGATGAGCCGCCACCTCTTGAGAGCATACTGGATGTGATGAAGAGCCTCCTCTTGTTGTGCGGACCTGAGAATGAAGCTCTCTAACATGCGCCCCACCTTCATCTAGCTTCTCTCTGTCGAGTGATAGCTACCAAAGAGCTACAAAGTCATTGTTTTTTCGCTCCGCCAAGTGACACTCGCTGGATACAATCGGACGACTCATTTTATCGATCTCTAGACTTCACAAGAAGATCTAGAGATTGCCCATGTCGTCATTGTCCAAGGAGAGCCTTCGAGGCTGTGGACACTACACGACAATCCTCTTAAATGCTCAAGATTCTATTATATCGTCGAATTGTCACCACCATGTCGGAACTCTATTTTATCAATTTTTTTAATTAGCTTAACTTTCACCATCATTTTTTAGACTTCGAAAGGAGACCTGGTGAATGTCTAGGTCTATGTCCAAAGAGAGCCTTTGAGGCCATGGACATCATTCAATGACCCTCTCAAACACACAGAATTCCAACGATCGTTGTCGCAAGGCCAGAACTTAGCCTTTCCTACTTTCAACTTAATTCTCACTTTATTTAGTGATAATTTTCACTTAATTCCAATTAAATCATCTGTAATTACTTATGTAAGAATCACCGGGCAGAACTCTATTTTCTCTCAATTCACATTCTCCAGGAGCTGATGTCATCTTGACGTCCACATTTTTATTTTTTAGTCTAAAATTCTTAAAAAAATTATATTCCTTGAGAAAGGTTTTAAAATATTATCTAATATTATATTATATCCTTGTGATTAATCTAATTTTTTTTCATTATTTTTGGAACTTTCATTGAATTATAATTGATATATTTGTTGAGAAATACTTCTAAATATCTGAAAATTGATATTTTCTAATTTTATAAATTTTAAATTTGCATGATTTATTATACACATTGCAACTTTTTTGTCACACAGAGAGCTTCAAAGTAGGAATCAAGTCACAAAATCAATTAAAAGGAACTTTAAAAAAACTAGAATCAAGAAATGTACTAAAAAAATTACAAAATTGAAATTACGAAATTTTACTTGAGAATATGGGACTGCCCATATTCTTGTGTCACTACATAGAAGAATGAGGTCTTACTCTCCCAGAAGAGAAGGGAGAAGCTACAATTAGTCAAGAGAGATCCCACTTTTCTCTTAAATTTTTTCTTTTTATTTAGTTCAAGAAGGCACAAATTTGTTACCATAAATCTCTCTAATAAACAGCCAAAAAAATCAGATCTAATTGGGAAGGATTCAAATATAGTAGCTCATTGTTCTTGCTTTCTTATTTTCGTGGACATATTATTTTGACTTAAATGATGTAGCTTTAATGGTTGACACATGAGTCTATTGGGCTATAAAAATCATGGATTAAATCCCCTTTTATGTTGACGTTGCTAAGTGGACTTGAGCCTAAACAATGGGTCTTAGCTTACTTACCACATGCTTCAACACAATTTCAAAATAATTTTAGAAAATCATAAAAATATTAATTCAAAGTATAACTTCATGAACATATTATTGATAAAGATAATATATATTTAAATACAATAAACCTTGGATGATTGTATTAACATATAATATTAAAATATCAAAATAAATTCATGAATATAAATCATCCAAAGTACAAGTTTAATTATCAATTTTATATATAGTATTTTATCACAACTAAATGTATTCTAATTCAAATATATGTATTTAATCATAAATTTAGGTTATTATTATATCTATTTGACCTAATTTATCACATGAGATTAGAGTGTTATCAATAGATGATAGGGAGGTGGTAGGGGGGGCTCGCATTCGTCTAATGTGTTATTGAGTAGAGAATTAGAAGAAGGGAGAGCTCACTATGGTAGCAAGGGTTCTCGTTCCTCTATTGTGTCACCCAACAGAGAATTACAACAGGGGAGAGCATGCCGTGGAATCATTTGTCATCATTTTCCACCATCCATTTTATGTCGCTTTGCAAAAATTGTGAATAGGATAAATCTCACTTTGGAATCTGATAAGTCTTCATTATCATGAGTTAATAATTAGTAAATAATATAGTTTTAGCCTTAACTCATGATAAATAGACTTATATTTGTGTTAAAGTGTGAAAAGTGGTTTTCAGTTGATTAACGTGAATTTTTGGGTAATTATGTGATGTTATACGAATTTATATGATTTTTACAGTCTTACTTTTGAGATAAATGAAGAAAAAAAAATAAAAATAAAAATAAAGCAAAATGGGGGGGACTTGTCGGCCAACTGGGCCCACAAGCAGGTCGGAAGCACAGTCGGAGAGTAGCCGCGAGTAGAGACTCGAGCAGCTAGGACCGATAGGGACATGTGTGCACCACATCCCTTCCACGTCATCGGTGGCCAGCTGGCTGTGGGGCAAGGAGTGGTTGTACACGTGCGAGAAAGGGACTTGATCGTAAATGTAATATTACTATATATTTACCAAAAACTTCGGCGCACAAACGATGTGGGACTAAACCCGCATCACACCTTCCCCAGAAAGGGCGGGCAACCAACGTGGGTTTGAATCCTCCCAGAGCCCAAAACTCATATTTTTTATTTGATTATCGTGACTTTCTTGTAGATCACCGGTGAAGGATTAAGCAACCAAAATCGTTGGATCATCGGCGAAAATCTCGTCAATACAATTCGCAGAGCATTGTTACTAAAATTGCTGAATGATTCGCGATAAAAGGATTGCAAATTCATCGAGTAAAGCATCTCCGATTGATCGACGAATAAGCCGTCGTCGAGAAGAGGACGATCCGTCGGGAGACGAGTTGCCACCTCCTGAGAGCATACCGGATGCGATGAAGAGCCTCCTCTTGCTATGTGGACCTGAGGATGAAGCTCTCTGACACGTGCCCCACCTCCATCCAGCTCCTCTCCGTTGGGTGACAGCTGCCGAAGAGTCGCAAAGTCACTGTTTTTCTGCTCTGCCAGGTGACAGCCATCGGAGACGATTCGACGACCTATTTTATTGATCTCTAGACTTCGCAAGGAGATCTAGAGATTGCCCACGTCATCTTTGTCCAAGGAGAGCCTTTGAGGTCGTGGACATTGCATGATGATCCTCCAAAAAGCTCAAGATTCCAGTGCATTGTCGATGCATCGTCGCTGCAATGCTAGAACTCTGTTTTCCTACTTTCAACTTACTTTTCACTTCATTTAGTGATAATTTGTGTGATTTTAATTTACCAAGATATACTTCATTCAATTACGATTCTTCCGGCTTTTACAGATCTTAATTTGATCAATTAAATCGTTTGTAATCGCTTACGTAAGAATTGCCGGGCGGAACTCTATTTTTGCCTAATTCATATTCGACGGGCGCTGACGTCATCCTAATGTCCGCACCCTTATTTTCCTTTTTCGTGAATTTTAAATATATTTCCTTTTCATTTCTTAGTATATAATTAATAGAAAATAGTATTCTTTGAGAAAAATTCTGAATAATTATCAGATATTATATTACATCCCTGTGATCGACCTGAAAAATTATCGTTGTTTTTGGAAGTTTTATTGAATTATACTTGATATATTTGTTCAGAAATACTTCTAAATATCCAAAAATTCATATTTTCTAGTTTCATAAATTATAAATTTGCGTGATTTACTATACAATGACTAAGTCACATCTAATTTTGGCACCGTTGTTGGAGATGTATTACATAATATTTAGTATTTTTTTGTTTTTCTCTTATAGTACACAAAAAAAAATTAACTCTTGTTTTATTTTCTTTTTGCCAATTTTTTTTTAAAAAAAGAAATGAACAGAAGCAAGGCAAGGACTAGAGCATAATGAAGGAGGGTAACAATTACTAAACTTTTTCCTCGAATTTATTAATTTTTTATGCATGGTAGAAGATCCTTACATCTAAGGCTAGAAAATCCTTTCATTATTTCATTCAAAACTAAAAATCCGAAAGAAAAATTAATTTTGATGGATCTTGAAGGAAGTATAGGTCAAATTGAGGACAATCCTATGGCCATGAAAAATTATTATATCCCTAATTCATTTCAAAGAGCATCCAATATTAGTGTCCTATTAGCACCTACTATTAAATTCGAAATAAATCCAAAATTTTTTCAAATGCTCCCTAATTTTCATGAATTGCCTTTAGAGGAACCTCATCAGCACTTAGAAAAATTTCATATGGTCTGTGATTTAATTAATCTCCCTCAAGTTACACCGAAAATTATTAAGATGAAATTATTTCCTTATACACTTAGGGACAAAGTTGGTCATTGGCTATTCACATTAGATAGAGAATTAACTAGTTGGAAAGATATAGAATATGCCTTTCTTCAAAAAATTTATCCGTTAGTAAAAACTCAAAATATGAGAAAACATATATGGAGTTTTTCTCAAAGACCAAGAGAAACTTTACATGAGACATGGGAAAAATTCAAAGATTTACTTAGAAAGTGTCCTCATCATGCTATACCCAAGTGACAGCTCAATAGAATTTTTATGATAGATTATTAGAACAACATAGAAATATAGTTGATTCTATATGTGGAGGAGCTTTTATGAAGAAAACCTCTAATGAGATTTATAATCTTTATGAGAATTTAAGTGAAAATTCTAGAGATCAAGCTTCTTTTGAATTATATGACAGGGATAAGAAGAGATAATGTATGAATTGCATGTCCTATGTATGGTGAAAATGATAATTTTGAATTTCAACATTATAATTTAGATCAACCATTTCATCCTAGGCAAGAACAAGTATAGGTACCTCACAATTTTAGTAAAAATAGGGACTATTTTTCTAATTCTTATATCCTAATTGGGGGAATAATTTTCCGTGGAGAAACCCAAATAATATTCAAAATCCAGAAGTACTTAGATCCAATTCAAATTTTAAATTTCGTCCAAAATAAGAACATAGATTTTAAAAAAATCAGTCCTCTCAAATCTAACTTGATGCTATGAAAATGATGCAGCAAATGAGTTAAATGATGCAACAAACTATGAATCAAATGATGTTGCACCAAAAACAAATTATAGAGGCTTTTGAGAATAAGAGAGAAGAGGGACAACCACCTAATCAACCCATAGAAAATTCAAGAAATTGTCCAATAATAAGATTTCAGTAAGGAGAGTCTAGCTGGATAAATTTAGAAAAAAACCCACGAAATGAAAATGTTAGGACAGTGAATAAATTGAGTGAGAATATTTTACATGATCCTTATTTCTAATTATTAGAAGAAATCGATGAACCATTAGAAGTAAATGAGAATATTAAAGCTGAAAATATAGTAGTAAAAAATTTGAATAAAATCATTTATTACTCACAATTGATGAATGAATATAGTGAGGATGATGAGGAGAAAGAGCCCTTAGATGAAGAAATAACAACTGATTATGGAAAAATCATCTAAATTTTAGTAGAAGGGAGTAAGGATAGAAATAAAGAAAAACATATTTCAGGTGAGGAAAAATTAGTTGATTTGGGAGATGTAGGAGACGAAATTAATAAATCTAATCATAATTTTACAGCCATGGATGTTGATAGTGAGGATGATGATATATATCATATATCGAAATTAGAAGATAGTTCTTGAGAAGATGAAGAATTTGATGAGTTGAGAAACGAAAAGTTAGAAAAAGAGTTGATTCAACTAATAGGAAGAAATGAAAATAATGAACATGAATATAAAGATAATTTTGAAGGAGAAAATTTAAAATTTACTAAATTCATTAGATCTGAGATTAAAGAAGACAATCCTTCCATCCTTCAAAAATCAGAGCCCATTAGAATTACTTCTAAGCTTGAAATATTTCACTCCTCACAAATTAAATAAATATGTATGGAAGATAAAATGGAGTAGGGGAAGATTATGCAGATAAAAGAAGATATTAAGAAATAGATGAATGGAAGAATTAGAGATATCAATTTAGATGAAAAAATTCTAAATTAGGTAAGAGCTAATTTGAAAATTATATGGCTTGATCACATTTTATGGTTTATTAATAGAAAGTATTTATTAATGAATGAGAGCCATATAAAACAAGATAGAAATGAGAAAATATTCTTTTCAAAATGAAAATATTATTTTTGGGAAAATTTTGTTAATTTTATTTTTTTTGGCTGAAAGTATGTCAAGGTATATATATGAAGTATATGAATTTATGCTAAATCTGAAAAAGAATATCATGAAACTTACCTTGGGATACAAATATATTTTGATGGCCATAGATCATCTTATATGATCTACGAGCTGTCCAGCTGAAGACATTAAATTCAGTGCTGCATGAGAGGCAACCCATAGTTTTTATTTCATTCTGTTTGATTTTTTAAGCTCTATTTTTCTTAGAATTTCGTAGTACTTTTTTCTGTATTTGTTTTTTTTGAAAAAGTGCAGGAGGAGTGTAAGATGAAGTGGAAAATTAAAAATGAGGTTGAGGTGATGCCTTTCTGAGCTTTATCATTTATGAAAATATTTTTAATACTTAACTTTACATATATGCATGCTTCACTTGAAAATTATATTTTCTATATATTTTGTTTCGATTTTTCTGTGTCATTGAGGACTGTCATTTTTAAGTTGGGGGGGTGAAGTATTCATTATTAATTTATGTTATTGGATGATTAAGAACATGTGTTTGTATTTTATTTTTATTTTTTAATGCTCACTTAGAACAACAACTAAAAAAATAAAAATAAAATAAAATTCAGAAAAACTACAACATCTATTTTCTGGTTTTTTGTCAAGAACAACAGACTATCAAAAATAGTAGACAAAAAATAGCCTGAAATTTGAAATTCTAGAAACCTTTTTCTCACATTTCAATCGCTCAGATATATATTACTGAAATTCAAAATTACAACTATAAAGATGATAGTTTTGATTTATTTTTGACAAATTTATTATTGCTAAAAACAGAACTGAAAATAGAAAACAGAATTGTCAAAACTATCTAATTTATAAATTTCTTACATTATATTGCATGCATGAAAAATTAAATCAATTAGATTGATTGATACCAAAAGATACAAGGAAGATTATTATTGAGTCAAAAGAATGATCTAGTAGTATGAAATGTTAGAATACTCCTTGGATACATGATAGATAACATGAATTTGATTTTACAGATTTTTACTTCATGATCTTGATGGATAGTATTTACTTGATGTGAAAATTTGATTGATCATTTGAGTTTTATAGAGATTTTTGTACCTTGATCTATAGGACTTGTGAGAAGAAATCACTTATTTTGAAAAAAAAAGAGAGAACAATGTGAAAAATCTAGAAACAAAGAGTACACATGAAGGGTGTGAGACATCATTCTCATTGTCGAAAATCGTGCATAGAAAAACACTTGCTGCAAAATAAGTGGATAAAGTGAAAGCCCTGAAAATGAAAAGTACACATGGAGGGTGTGAGACATCATTCTTATTGTCGAAATTTGTCTACAGGAAAAGCTACTTATCCACTATATATATAAAAAAAAAGAAAAAAAGAAGGAAGAAATATAGTACAAACTTCAAAAATCAAGTCATGAAAAAAGGAAAATGTAAGATCAATATTATTCTTGGATGAGTATTGATAATTGAAATATTTTCTCATCCACTCTTCTATCTTCCAATGAAATATGGTTGGAGGATTATCTACCTTGGGATCCGGCACATCTTGGTGAGCATCATCATGCGACGTAAAGCCTGCTCAAGCTATGGTGGGTGATAACCATGATAGCAACAAGAGAACTATCCTCTCAAGGATCAATCATTCTCATCTTACTTGTGGATGTATGTGTGGTATCTCCATGAGTAAATTAAGATTTATCCTACCCTTTACTCTTATTTCTTTTCATTTTATGTAGATTGATGACCTCAATTAATTAATTAAATATCGATATACTTTGATTAAGATTTCGAAGTCTTGACTTGAAATCTTAATCCAATGATTGTTTATTGGAAGATTAACCTCTAGATTTTTCTTCTGATGTTAATTCTCTTCATATTTTCATTGTGAAAATAGCTTTGTCACATTTGCTAAGTGAAACTAACTATTTTGATCTAATCATCTTATCTTTTATTTCTTTCATCTTCAAATACACCATTTGTAACAATTAATTTACATTTTTACTTGTCCTTGTGATTGACCTAGATATTTACCAATATATCATCTAATATTCTTATTTTAATTTCTAGTTTATAAATTTAAAATTGGTCCATCAAAGCTTTAATTACAATGATAGTTTTAGGAGATGAAATTTTGGCACTGTTTCCAAGGATGGTTTTATCAAATTCGTTTTGACTTGATTTCCAAGGATGTTGTAATGTTAATTTTAATTTTTACATATACTTAGTTATTTTTCACGAAAAACTATATATCTTGTGGAAATAAAACTACATGCCAAAAAGGGATAGATATACATTTTCACGATATTATATTACATCCTTGTGATTGATATTTAAAAACCTATCTTAGAGTCTCTCGAATTTAAATCTCCCAACAAAGAAATTCTTTTTAAAAAATAAAAAAAATCTAACAAATGATGGTCATGAGCATGTTAATCCCAAAGATCAAAATACTCCAAAATTTATGAAGATAATTATTCATACTAATTGAAAGAAAAATATGATAAGAACCCCTCTAACGTGACTTAGTCATTGTATAGTAAATCACATAAAATAAAATTTATAAAACTAGAAAATACTAATTTTTGAATATTTAGAAGCATTTCTGAACAAATATATCAATTACAATTCAATAAAAGTTCTGAAAATAGTGAGAATTCTTTAAGTCAATCACAAGGATGTAATATAATATCGAGTAAGTTTTCATAATTTTCTTCAAAGAATATGATTTTTTATAAATTTTATACAAATAAATATAAATAAAATATATTTAAAATTCACAAAGAAGGAAAATAAGGTGCAGATGTTAGAATGACTTCAGCACCTCGACAAATATGAATCAAGCATAAATAGAGTTCCACTTAGTGACTCTTGTGTAAGTAATTATAGACGAATTAATTAGTGAAATTAAGATTTGTAAAAACAAGAAGAATCGTAATTGAATGAAGAATAGCTTGGTAAATTTAAATCACACAAATTATCACTAAATAAAGTAAAAATTAAGTTGAAAGTAGGAAAGTTAGAGTTTCGGCCTCACGACAATGATTATCAAAATTCTATGTGTTTAATAGGGTCATCGAATAATGTCCATGGCCTTAAAGGCTCTCTTTGGACATAGACGACTTGGGCATTCATTAGATTTCTTTTCGAAGTCTATAAAATGATAATGGAAATTAAATTAATTAAAAAATAATAAAATAGTATTTTGACATTGCGGCAGCGATGCATCGACAATGCACTTGAATCCTAAGCGTTTGAGAGAATTTTCATGCAATGTCCACATCCTCAAAAGCTCTCTTTGAACAAGGATGACATAGGTAATCTTTAGATCTTCTTGCGAAGTCTAAAGATTGATGAAATGGGTCGTTGAATCGTCTCCGACAGCTGTCACCCAGTAAAGCGGGAAAATGGCGACTTTGTGACTTTCCAACAGCTGTCACTCGATGAAGAAGAGCTAGATAGAGGTGGGAGTGTGTCAGAGAGATTTATTCTCAGGTCCGCACAACAAGATGAGTGATAAGTCTTCATTATCATGAGTTAATAATTAGTAAATAATATAGTTTGAGCCTTAACTTATGATAAATAGACTTATATTTGTATTAAAGTGTGAAAAGTGGTTTTCAATTGATTAACGTGATTTTTTGGGTAATTATGTAATTTTATACGATTTTTACAGTCTTACTTTTGAGATAAATGAAGGAAAAGAAATTAAAATAACAATAAAGCAAAATGGGGGGGACCCGTCGGCCAGCCGGGCCCGTAAGCAAGTCGGAAGCGCAGTCGGGGAGTAGCCGCGAGTAGGGACTCGAGCGGCTTGAACCGATGGGGGCACGTGTGCGCCACTCCCCTTCCACATCACTAGTGGCCAGCCAGCTATGAGGCAAGGAGTGGTCGTACACGCGCGAGAAAGGGACTTTGCTTAGAAATGTAACATTAGTATATATTCGCTCGAAAATTCGGCGCATAACCGATGTGAGACTAAACCTGTCACCTTCCTCAGAAGAGGCGGGGGCAACCAGCGTGGGTTCGAATCCTCCCAAAGCCAAAACTCATATTTTTATCTGATTATCGCGACTTTCCTACAGATCGCCGATGAAGGATTAAGCAACTAGAATCACTGGATCATCGGCGAAAATCTCGTCAACGCGATTCGCGGAGCATTGTTACTAAAATTACTGGAGGATTCATGATAAAAGGATCGCGAATCCATCGAGTAAATCATCTTCGATTGATCGACGAACAAGCCATCGTCGGGAAGAGGACGATCCGTCAAGAGACGAGTCACCACCTCCTGAGAGCGTACTAGATGCGATGAAGAGCCTCCTCTTGCTACGCGGACCTGAGGATGAAACTCCCTGACACGCGCCCCACCTCCATCCAGCTCTTCTCCGTCGAGTGATAGCCACCAGAGAGCCGCAAGGTTGCTATTTTTCCACTCCGCCAAGTGACAGCCGCCGGAGATGATTCGACGACCCATTTCATTGATCTCTAGACTTCGAAAGGAGATCTAGAGATTGCCCATGTCGTCTTTGTCCAAGGAGAGCCTTCGATGCTGTAGACACTGCACGACAATCCTCCCGAACGCTCAGGATTCCAGTGCATCGCCGATGCATCGTCGCCACGATGTCGGAACTCTATTTTCCTACTTTTAACTTACTTTACGCTTCATTTAGTAATAATTTGTGTGATTTTAATTTACCAAAATATACTTTGTTCAATTACGATTCTTCCAGCTTTTACAGATCTTAATTTGATCAATTAAATCGTCTGTAATCGCTTACGTAAGAATCGTTGGGTGGAACTCTGTTTCGGCTCGGTTCGCGTTCGCCAGGCGCTGACGTCATCCTAACGTCCACACCCTTATTTTCCTTTTTTCGTGAATTTTAAATATATTTTCTTTTCATTTCTTAGTATACAATTCATAGAAAATAGTATTCTTTGAGGAAAATTCTGAATAATTACCAGATATTATATTACATCCTTGTGATTGACTTGGAAAATTACCGCTATTTTTTGGAAGTTTAATTGAATTATAATTGATATATTTGTTCAGAAATACTTCTAAATATCTGAAAAATCATATTTTCTAGTTTAATAAATTTTATATTGCGTGATTTAATATACAACGACTAAGTCACGTCAATGAGGGTCTTCATCACATTTGATACGCTCTTAAGAGGTGACGACTTGTCTCTCGGTGGTCGTCCTCTTTCTGATGATGACTTGTTTGTCGATCAATTGAAGATGAATTACTCGATGGATTCATAATCCTTTTATTGTGAATTGTTCAATAATTTTAGTAACAATTCTCTACGAATCGCATTGACGAGATTTTTGCCGATGATCAAGCGATTTTAGTGACTTAATCTGTCACTAACGATATGTAGAAAAGTTATAATTTAATTAGATAAAAATATAAATTTTGGCTTTGGTAGGATTCGAACCCATGTTGGTCGTCCTTGTTTGCCTATATAAGAGAGAGAAAATAAGTTTTTGAATACCTTTATATAATAACGTCATCATGATATCTCACTATTATAAAGAAGAGATATTTTAGGTATTAAAATCTTTGAAAACATTCCAAGAAAGGTATGACCGCCGATTTAGTCCCACATAGGCTATACGTCGAATGTGGAGATGCATATATGGTAACATGAGATTTGGGAATCAATTAGTCCCTTTCTCATGTATGTGCGACCACTCCTTGTCCCACAATTAGCAGGCCACTGATGATGTGGAAAGGGAGTGGCACACACGTGCCCCCATCAGTCCATAGTCGCTCAAGCCCCTACGCGCAGCTCTACCTCGACTGCGCTTTCAACCCACTTGTGTGCTTGGCTGACTGTGGGTCCCCCCCTTTTTCTATTTTTTTTATTTTCTTTTTCTTTATTTAATCTCAAAAACACGATTATAAAATTCATATAAACTCGTATAAAATCACATAATTAGCCAAAAAATCACATTTACTAACTAAAAACCACTTTTCATAAATTAACATAATTATAAGTCTATTTATCATGAGTTAAGACTAAAACTATATTATTTATTAATATTAACTCATGATAGTGAAGACTTATCACCCTCCATATGATTCAAATATTTCCACATTTTTATGGTCATCCAAATAAAGATCCACATGATCATTTACATGACTTAAATAAGATATGTGCTATCACAAAAGATATGGATGATTCTATGTGCAGATCTTTGTTCCTTTTAATTAAAAGATACAGCTAGTCATTAGCATTCAACTATTGGGGAGGAAATCAGAATGCAGCCTACTCTTATCAATATATATTTTTCACGATTTCATTCAAGAGCTAGAGAAAAAAATGTAATGGAAAGAGCAATTCAAACCTTCTCACAATAGCCCAATGGTTCTTTTCATACCACATGAGAAATGATGAAAACTTTATTCTAAAAATGCTAAAGCCATGGACTCCACAAGAGTATGATTTGTGAATTTTTTTATGATTTTTGAACTGATGTGACTTAGTCGTTATATAGTAAATTACATAAATTCTAAAATTTATAAAACTAAAAAATACTAATTTTTAGATATTTAGAAGTATTTTTAAAGAAATATATCAATTATAATTCAATAAAAGTTTCACAAATAGTGAGAATTTTTCAAGCCAATCACAGGGATGTGATATAATATCTAGTAATTTTTTAGAATTTTCTACAAATAATACAACATTTTATGAATTTTAGACTAAGAAATACAAATAAAATATATTTCAAATTGACGAAAAAAAAGAAATAAAGAGTGCAGACATCAAGATGACATCAGCACTTGATGAACATGAATCAGGTATAAATAAAGTTTCACCTGATAATTCCTATAGAACTAATTACAAACAAATTAATTGGTCAAATTAAGATATGTAAATGCTAGAAAAATTATAATTGAATGAAGAATAATTTAGAAAGAGGACATCACACAAATTATCACTAAATGAAGTAAAAACTAGGTTGAAAATAGGAAAGGCCAAGTTTCGGCCTCGTAATTAGTAGAATTGTGTATGTTCGAGAGGATCTTTGTGATGTCCATGGCCTCAAAAGTTCTCCTTGGGCATGGACAATTTGGGTATTTGTCAGATCTCCTTTCAAAGTTCAAAAGATGATGGTGAAAGTTAAACTAATTAAAAAATAGTAAAATAGAGTTATGATGTCGCAATATTGATACGTTAGTGATATGTCAGAATCCTAAGTGTTTGAGAGGATTTTCATGTAGTGTCTATGGTTTGAAGGTTTTTCTTAGGTAAGAACAGAGTAAGCAATTTCTTGATCTTTTTGTGAAGTCTAGAGATCAATGAAATAGCTCGTTGAATCTTCTTTAACAGTTGTCACTCGGCAGAGTAGAAAAATGACAACTTTGCAGCTCTCTGACGGTTGTCACCTGACAAAGATGAGCTAGATGGAGGTGGGGCATGTCTTAGAGAGCTTCATCCTCAAGTCCGCACAGAAAGAGATAGTTCTTCATCTCATATAGTACTCTCAAGAGGTGGCGACTTATTTCTCAACAGATCATCTTGCTTCCAATGACAGCTTGATTGTTGATCAATCGGAGATGTTTTATTTGATGAATTCACGATCTTTTTAATATGTGCATACCAGTGATGGTTGATGTTGAGCTGTCATCAATTGTTCATCTGGAAATGCATCTTGTAAAGGTGTTGCATTTATTCCTGTATCACTTAATCTAGAAAGATGATCAGCAACAACATTCTCAAAACCTTTTTTATCTTTTATTTCTAAGTCAAATTCTTGCAACAATAAAATCCATCTTAATAAACGTACCTTTGCATCTTTCTTATTTAACAGATATTTTAATGCTGCATGATCAGTATAAATAATAATTTTAGCTCCCAAAATATATGATCTAAACCTTTCTAACGAAAATACTACAGCTAACAAATATTTTTTAGTCATGGTATAATTTAATTGAGCATCGAATATAGTTTTACTAGCATATGAAATTACTATGGGTTTTGACTCTTTTGTTTATCCTAGAACGGCCCCCACTACATAATTCGATATATCACATATTATTTCAACAGAAAAGGACCAATCAGGAGCTTATAAAATGGGTGTCTCAATAAGTAATCTTTTTATTTTAGAAAAAGACTCAAAACATTTCTCATCAAAATTAAAAGGCCCATCTTTAGATAATAATATAGTGAGAGGTTTAGAAATTTTTGAAAAATTTTGAATAAATTTTCTATAATAATCTACATGACCCAAGAAAGATCTAATCTATTTTACTGAATTTAGAGGTTTTATTTTAGATATAATATCAATTTTTACTCTATCCACCTCTAAACCCCTTTCACTCACAATATGACCTAACACAACTCCCTCTCTAACCATAAAATGTGATTTCTCCCAACTCAAAACTAATTTTTTCATCAAATGATTTAAAGTACATGTTGTAAATGATTTAAAAATTCATCAAATGATTCACCAAAAATGGAAAAATCGTCCATAAAAATTTTCATGCATTTTCCAGTCATATCAGAAAAAATTGACAACATACATCTTTGAAATGTTGCTGGAGCATTACACAGACCAAAATGCATGCATTTAAAAGCAAAAGTACCAAATGGACAAGTGAAAGTTGTTTTTTCTTGATCTAAAGGGTTTATATAAATTTGATTATAACCAGAGTATCCATCCAGAAAAAAAAAAAGGTTTTTTCCAACTAATTTTTCTGAAATTTGATTAGTAAATGGTAAGGGAAAATGATCTTTTCTAGTAACTGAATTTAATTTTCTATAATCAATGCAAACCCTCCAACCGGTAGTTAATCTTGTTTGTATTTCATCCCCATTTATTTTTTTTATAACCATGATCCCTGATTTTTTTGGCACCACTTGTGTAGGACTAACTCATTTGCTATCTGAAATAGGATAAATAATATCAGCAGCCAGCCACTTTAATTTTATTTTTTTTACAATTTCCATCATGTTAGGATTTAATCTTTGTTGTGATTTCCTACTAGTTCTAGCCCCCTCCTCTAGATATATACTTTGCATGCATACACTCATATCAATGCCTCTTAGATCGTCCATTTTTCAGCCCATAGCCTTCTTATTTTTTCGAAGTACATCTAATAATTCTTCATTCTGTTCATCACTCAAATCAGCTACAATAATAATAGGAAATGAATTATTTACCTCCAAAAATATATATTTTAAACTAGAGGGAAGAGGTTTCAACTCTAAATTCAAATGATCTTCTTCTTTCTTTTCTCCTAAATTTATATTCTCTATTTTCTCTGATTCTTCCAGCACACAGTTATCAATAACATTTGGATCATCAAAATCCTCTAGAAGATCTATGGTATGACAATCATATACTTGGGATTTCTTAAGATCATTTGATACCTAAAAAATTTTAATTTCTACTAATTGATCTCCACATAAAATTTTTGTAATACCTGTGAGAAAATCAATATTCATCTTTGTTGTATGCAAAAATGGTCTCCCTAGGATGATTGGTGTATCATAAAACTATCCATTAAAATCCATTTCCAACACTAAAAAAATCAGCTGGAAATTTACACCCTTGAACTGTCACTATCACATTTTCTAAAATACCTTTAGGATGTTTTATGGATCTATTAGTAAATTGTAAGGTAACAGTAGAAGGTTTAAGATCAGTAATATTAAATTTATCACAAATACTTGTAGGTAATAAATTAATACTAGCACCGGTGTCAAGTAATGCATTCTGAAAAATAGATCCACCAATATCACACAAAATTAAAGGGGCACCCGTATCTTTCAATTTTTATGGTAATTGATTTAATAATAAGATGATTTTTCTACTCTAGGTGTCCTTTTTGGTGTACACATTTCTTTCAAAACTCTAGCATATTTAGGAATATATTCAATGGTAGTGAGTAAAGGAAGACTAATTTGCACATCTTGTAAAATCTTCTTTATTTCTTCATTGTGTTTTTTTTTCTTTCTTTGTCTAGGCTCTAGAGCTTTAGGAAATGGAATTGTTATCCTCTCATTCGAAATTTCCTTGGTAGAATCTATAGAATCCTCTTCTACTCCTATTTGATTTTGTTTTGGGCTGTTCACGTTTTCCTTTTCTTCTAATATTTGAGGATAAGGATCAAGTAAGATCTTATAACTCCTTAATGCATTCATTGTCCTAACATTTTCATTTCGTGGGTTTTTTCTTAGATTCATCCTACTAGACTCCCCTTGCTGAAATCCTATTATTGGACAGTTCCTTGTAATTTCTATGGGTTGACTAGGTAGTTGTCCCTCTTCTCTCTTATTCTTAAGAGCCTCTATAATTTGTTTCTGCTGCAGCATCATTTGATTCATAATTTGTTGTATCATTTAGCTCATTTGCTGCATCATTTTCATAATATCAGGTTGGGTTTGAGAGGGCTGATTTTTTTGAAATCTGTTTTCTTATTTTGGACGAAATTCAGAGTTTAAATTGGATCTAAGTGCTTCTGAATTTTGAATATTATTTGGGTCTCTCCATGAAAATTATTCCTCCAATTAGGATTATAAGAATTTGAAAAAGGTTTCCTATTTCTATTAAAACTGTGAGCTACTTGCACTTGTTCTTGTATAGGGTGAAATAATTGATCTAAATTATAGTATTGAAATTCAGAATAATCATTTTCACCATACATAGGACATGTACTATTTGAATTAAATTGAGGGTTAAGAGGCTTTCTAATATTGTCAATAAGTAAATTAAGTTTTTCTAATCTTTGATTAATCTAATTAACCTCATTTCTAAATTTAGAATCATCATCATGATGTAATTCATAAATTCCTCTCTTCTTATCTTTGTCATATAATTCAAAAGAGGCTTGATCTCTAGAATTTTCACTTAAATTCTCATAAAGACTGTAAATCTCATCAAGGGTTTTCTTCATAAAAGTTCCTCCACATTAGAATCAACCATATTTCTATATTGTTCTAATAATTCATCATAAAAAATTCTATTGAACTGCCACTTAAGTATAACATGATGAAGACACTTTTTAAATAAATTTTTGAATTTTTCCTATATCTCATACAAAGTTTCTCCTGGTCTTTGAGAAAAACTCTATATATATTTTCTCATATTTTGAGTTTTTCCTAAGAGATAAAATTTTTGAAAAAAGGCATATTCTATGTCTTTCCAGCTAGTTAATTCTCTATCTAATGTTGATAGCCAATGACTAGCTTTGTCCCTAAGTGTATGAGAAAATAATTTCATCTTAATAATTTCTAGTGTAACTTGAGGGAGATTAACTAAATCACAAACCATATGAAATTTTTCTAAGTGCTGATGAAGTTCCTCTAAAAGCAATTTATGAAAATTAGGGAGCATTTAAAAAATTCCTAGATTTGTTTCGAATTTAACTGTAGGTGCTAATGGGACTCTAATATTGGATGCTCCTTGAAATAAATTAGAGATATAATGATTTTTCATGGCCATAGGATTGTTCTCAATTTGACTTGTACTTCCTTCATGATCCATCAAAATTAATTTTTCTTTTGGATTTTTAGTTTTGAATGAAATAATGAAAGGATTTTCTAGCCTTGGATGTAAGTATCTTCTACCATGCATAAAAAATCAATAAATTTGACAAAAAAGTTTAGTAATTGTTATCCTCCTTCATTATGCTCTAGTCCTTACCTTGTTTCTATTCCTTCCTTTTTAAAAAAAAAAAAAATCGGCAAGAAGAAAATAAAACAAGAGTTAATTTTTTTTTGTGTACTCTAAGAGAAATAGAAAAATATTAAATATTATGCAATACATCTCCGGCAACATCACCAAAATTTGACATGACTTGGCCGTTGTATAGTAAATCACACAAATTTTAAATTTATGAAACTAGAAAATATGAATTTTCAAATATTTAAAAGTATTTTTGAACAAATATCTCAAGTATAATCTAATAAAACTTCCAAAAATAGTGATAATTTTCCAAGTCAATCATAGGGATGTAATATAATGTTTGGTAATTATTTAGAATTTTCTTCAAAGAATACTATTTTCTATAAATTATATACTAAGAAATGAAAAGGAAATATATTTCAAATTCACGAAAAAGGGAATAAGGGTGTGGACGTCAGGATGACATCAGCGCCCGGCGAATGCGAATCAGGCAAAAATAGAGTTCAACTCGGTGATTTTTACGTAAGCAATTATAGACGATTTAATTGATCAAATTAAGATCAGTAAAAGCCGAAAGAATCGTAATTGAATGAAGTATATTTTGGTAAATTTAAATGACACAAATTATTACTAAATGAAGTGAAAAGTAAATTGAAAGTAGAAAAACAGAGTTCCGGTGTCGTGGCGGCGATGCGTCGGTGATGCACCAGAATCCTGAGCGTTCGAGAGGATTGTCGTGCAATGTCCACGGCTTCAAAGGCTCTCCTTGGACAAGGACGACGTGGGCAATCTCTAGATCTCCTTGCGAAGTCTAGAGATCCGACAAAGGCAGGGACGTCCGGTGAAGAGCGATGCTCAGCGTCGATGGTCCGCAGGTAGGCCGAAGGGCACGCTAGCGGGCGCGGGAGGCAAGCCGCGCGGCGGCCTTAGGGCATGCAGGAGCCGGCGCGCGGGGCGCGCGCGGCGGCAGCGCTTCGGCGGGAATGCCGGGCGTCTGCGGCGCTTCGGCAGGAATGCCGAGCGTCAGCGGCGCTTCGGCGGGAAGGCCGAGCGTCGGCGGTTGGGGCGGAAACCCAACCGTCGCCGGAAGGATCGGCCTCTCTGGCGGCGCCGGGAAGCGGAGCAGAGAGGAGACGATCCGGCCGACGATACCAGGGAGGGTTGAGCTCTCCTGGTCTAAACGGCGCCGGAAACGGCGTGACGGCGGCGGAGCGTCGGGAAACTCTGGTGGGGGCCTGTGAGGAGCTGGGACTGGTTCTGGCTCGTCGGCACGGCTGCTGGGTCTCTCCCGATGTCGGCGGCAGGTAGGCGTTCGTCGGCGAACGGCCAGCGACTGGGCGGAGCGGCGGATGGCGGCTCTGGCGAGTTTATGGTGGAGTTCCGGAGGAAGAGGTGGCAGACGAACGAGGAGTCGAGAGACTCCGGCGGAGTGCTCGGCGACGGCTCGTAGGGAGGCGAAGCGAGCCCCTTTCGTCACGATGGCGTGACGGGGTTCCAGCAGAGGCGGCGGCGGTTGCAGCGGCAACCGCGACCGTTTCGTCCGGTGACGGCGGCGAACTCCCGGGCGGCACTGAGATGGCCGGCGGCGGCAGTGGTCTCAGGCGGCGGCGGGACTTCTCGGGCAGCAGCGTCACGAGGAACGAAGTCCTCGAATGGGGTATCGACGGCCTTCCTCTTCCTCCTTCCCTCCCTATCCTAGATCAGGGAGAAGGTACTCACAAAACGATAATCTCTCTCAAAAATACGGCGCTCTCTTGAGGGGGGGTCCTACCTCCCCTTATATGGGGGCCCACAAGTGGGCTAAGGGGAGGTGGGCCCACTTGAGGCTCTCAAGCCCATAAGCCACAAAGGCTACAAAGGGGCTTATTGGGCCTCTTAAAGAGAGACTCAATAAGCCCCCCTAAAAGGAGAAAGAGGAGGGCCCTCTTACGGTGCTTAAGTGGGCCTCAAATGAAGACCCAAATAAGCCCCAAAAGAGGCCCAAAAAAGAAATACACATAGGTCCCCCCCCCTTAGGGTTTTAATTGGGCCTCAAAGAAAGACCCAATAAAACCCTAAAGAAAGGGAGACAAACAACAACACACACACATAAAATTGGGCCTGTTAACACACAAACGCGAGGCCCAACAAGTCAACATGAAAATACCAAGAAAGATAAGGGTGAGCTCGAGCTCGTCGTTGTCGCGGAGGTGGAATATCGTTGTCC